TCTCACAGACCTATGACTTCTGACCCTTGCTCGGTCCGAGCACATGATCTGTCTTGATTCGGGGTTTTCCTCTGTCCTGGCCCAGCTTGTCTGTCATCAAGGCAAAAATGCCACTTCTCTTCCGGCTGTCATTTGTGATAACCACACAGGATGCTGGAAACCAAGGCAGTTTGCTTTCTGTCTCTCTCCGCTGGACCAGCTCCAGCCCGAATGGCAATGAGCCATGTCCTCTCACCCGGCTCTCGCTGGTTCTTCAGGGACAGCCCAGGGCCACCCCTGGAGGCCCAGTCTCTGGCCACCTGTAGCCACACCCCAGGGCCGCTTCTTGGACTTGGAAATGGAAACAGCATTTTTTTTTTAACCCTGAGCACATTTTGTTTCCTCCTTCCTTTTCTCCCTTCCTTCCTTCCTTCTCACTCCCTTTCTTTCTTTCTTTTCTTTGTCTGTTTCTTTCTTTTGCTTTCTCTTTTCTTTCTTCTTCCTTCCTTCTTTCCACTCTTTTTTCTTTCTTTCTCTTTCTTTTCTTCCTTCCTCTCTCTTTCACTTTTTCTTCTTTCTTTCTTTCTTTCTTTCTTTCTTTCTTTCTTTCTTTCTTTCTTTCTTTCTTTTCTTTTCTTTCTTTCTTCTTCCTTCCTTCCTCTCTCTCTCTCTCTTTCTTTATCCAAAATGTTTGGAAAATACATGGTCCTTTTTAAAAAGAATTAAGTTTATTTATCTATTTTGTGAGAGAGAGAGAGCAGGAGAGAGGCAGAGAGAGAGAGAGAGAGAGAGAGAGAGACTCCCTAGCAGGCTCCCCACTGGCAGCACAGAGCCTGACACAGGGCTCAAGTTCACAAACTGTGAGACCATGACCTGAGCTGAAATCAGGAGCCGGACACTTAGACTGAGCCACCCAGGCGCCCCTGCATAGTCCCAGTTTTTAATACTACATCCATTCAGCCAGTCCAAGGACAAACAAACTTGCCTGCCTGCGTGCTCGCTCCCACGTCCCTTCCCTGATCGTCCTTGGCCTCTCGCAGCTGCCGCTGTCCGCACTGCCCACCAGCCTCTATCCCCCTGTCTACCCTCCTGGCCAGGGTCACCTGTCTACCCTCCTGGCCAGGGTCACCTGTCTGAAGCCCAGCATAGCTGTGTCACCCCCACCTGAACACTTGGTGGCTTCCTGTTGTCCCCAGGGCCCCCGGACCTGGTTCCAAAGGTTGAGATCTGGCCCTCGAAGCACCGCCCCTCCCAGCCCCTCCCCCCCTTCCCCAGTCTCCTCCTCTCGGTTCCCACGCTCCAGCCTCCCCCTCCCCCAGCGTCAGGAGCCTCCCACTGCCATCAGCAAGCAACACCTCCGGCTCAGCCAGCCTGCTCCAGCCCAGGTGACAAGCCCTCTTTTGTGGCCCTGGTGGCTGTCTCTCAAAGCTCAGGTGGGTCTGTCCCCCTTCCCCCCCTCCCCTGCCCCCTTCCTGGGCCACACCTCTGCCCCTGGCTTCCACAAGGCAGGTTCCCAGGAAGCTTTCAGCGAGGGCTGCTCTGCTCAGGAGGAACGCCTTCCTGGTCCTCAGTTGCGGGTGAGCTTTCCTTGGCTGCCGATTTGATTTTTAACTTGAAACTCAACCTCGTGTAACAAAACTGGCGGCTCTCCTTCCTACCCCCTGCGAGAAGACGCAGCGCAGGCTTCCTCCCGAAGGTCCAGGTCTGAGCGGCAATGTAGGGGCCAAGAACTCGGATGGGAAACTGTAGACTTATTGCTTCAAACCTCTACCTGATAGCGGCCCCCTCGATGAGGCAGGAGGCGAAGCCAAAGCGAAGCCCTCTCTCTCGCATTCGCAGTGCTGATAACTTGGTCACATCTACTTTTAGGCTGCATTAGAGTTGTACGTATCTTGAAATGTCGTGTCTGCCCATCGCCACTTCGGAATTATGGTAGTTATTAGACACAGTGTTGGCGCTGGTGATTTAATGTGTTAATAAAGAGGCCTGTGCATGTGCGTGCACGTGTGTGTGTTTCATTGATTCAGTTCAGTCTTTTAAACATTTTTTTTAAATGTTTTATTTATTTCTAGGAGAGAGAGAGAGAGGGACAGCGTGAGCAGGGGAGGGTCAGAGAGAGAGGGAGTCACAGACTGAAACAGGCTCCAGGCTCTGAGCTGGCAGTCAGCACAGAGCCCGACGCGGGCGGGGCTCGAACCCACGAACCGCGAGATCATGACCTAAGCGAAAGTCGGACGCTTAACTGACTAAGCCACCCAGGCGCCCCTAAACATTTTTTTAAAAATGTTTTATTTATGTTAGAGAGAAGGAGCACAAGTGGGGGAGGGACAGATAGAGAGGGAGAGAGAGGATCCCAAGCAGGCGCAAAGCCCTACTTGGGGCTCGAACTCACCAACCAGGAGATCATGACCTGAGCCAAAGCCAGACGCTCAACTGACTGAGCTGCTCAGGTGCCCCCCTCATTCAGTCTTTTGATAATTATGTTTTAAGGTAATCGCTTTCCTTTGTGATTCTTTGCATTTTCTGGTTGGCGTTTAAAGCCTTTATTCAGAGAAAGCCTCCACAGAGGAAGCCAAGAGCTGTCCCACGGCCCTCGAAGCCTCCACCCAGCCCGCGGCTCACCCATGGGCCCGTTCGGTGTGCAGCTTCCCGAGGCCTCTCTGGGAGCCTGTGCTTAAATCCCATGTGTGTCGCTGAATGGGCACCGGCCTCTTGATCTCTGCCTGCAGCCTCCCCAAGCCCAGCTTAGCGAGATCCCTCAGCCTCAGCCGAGGCTGATCGGTGGTGGGTCCCAGCCCCCCCCCCCCCACCCCGCCCCCGGGCCCTGCCCCAGCCCGCAGGGCCCGACGTGTGCCATTTAGCATATCTCAGGGTCTGCAAACCACTAGACCTCGCAGGCCAGCCAGAAGGGCTCTCCCATCTCTCGTGGAGACTCTGTAGAGACTGTCTCTGCCCCTCCCATCCCTTGCTGCTTTGTTAAGTTACTTTACGTAAACCAAGGCCCACACTAGACAAGAGATTAAAGTCACAATGAACCAATTTAAATGCCTGCATCTTCTGACTCGCTGAAGCATTCAAAGACAGGGAGTGGTTTCAGGGAATTATTAAAGGGTTAGAAAAAATCAAAACAGCTCTGAAAGGAGAGCAGGATGGGAGGCTGAGCTCTGACCTGTCAGCCTAGCTGCAGGCCCTCGCGGAGGCATCCCTCAGCTGTGATGACCTGTCTCCTGCAGTTCGGTGGCCGGCCACCCAGGGCGGTGGGGACGGGGGACGGGGCGGTGCTCCAAGCCTCGGGCCGTGCTGATAACCACCGACTGATGATCAAGAAGAGAAGGCCAACGCAGTTCGGCCCATGTCAGAAACTGTGTTTCAGTTTAAAGTGGTGCTTGTTCTTTCTAGAAAGTTCTAGAAAAATGCCTAAGGAAAAATAAGGAAACAGAACCTTCTAGCTGCGTGTTTCTACCATCCACAGGCAAATCGTCTTTAATCAAGTGGCCTCTGACAACGCTGTGCCCAGAAAAGAGAGACCTGAGGTCACGTGGGATGTGGCTCTGGCCACTTCGGCCCACACCCCGTGTCATGTGGGCGTGTCATGACAAGACTGCCCTACCTTTCCCCGTGCGCGTCGTCTTTTGTGTTACTGGTTGTAGAGAGTCGTGACTTCTTTTATTTTTAATTTTTTTAATGTTTATTTATTATTGAGACAGAGAGAAACAGAACATGAGGTAGACTCTCTAAGAAGCAGGCTCCAGGCTCTGAGCTGTCAGCACAGAGCCCGATGCAGGGCCTGAACCCACGAGCCGTGAGATCATGACCTGAGCTGAAGTCGGACGCTTAACCGACTGAGCCACCCAAGCGCCCTGAGAGTCGTGACTTCTAAAGATACGATTTTGCCTAATTTGGGGGTATCATATTGTAAGAATCCTCCATCATAAATTCATTTTGAGCATATTTTTCAGGGGCTGCGTGATATAGTGCAATGCAGCGCACCGTGCCGTCCTTGACCAATCCCCCATTGTCGGGCACTTGGGTCATTCCTGGCCGTGCCTTGTTGGCCATTTTAACTAATGCTGTGTTCAGCTTTTGGTGCGTTACCCTTTACACCGATGCTGGACTATTCCGACGTCATGCAAGGCGCAGTGAGAGCTCGAAGATAAGCTGCACACAATCCCTTCACGGAAGGTGCAGATATAAATAACCTTAATCCAAAGTAGGTGATAGTTGTCATAAGCAGGCAGCTAGAACTGGAATCCAGGAGAGTCTTGCCTGGGCTGCACGGGATTCTAAGAAAGTTTCCTGCGAAAATCTGAGCCTCTGCGTCTGTCCGCAGCCGCAAGGTCAGGGTAAGGGATCCGAGGGCTGCGGAGCTGAGGGCTGGCAGGCGTCACCTGAGGGGGCACAGCAGGTGGGGACCGTGTCACATGCAAACCCTGGTGAGCTGTCAGCGGCTGCCGCGAGGTAGGTGGCCTGCGGCTCCGTGGACGTGCCAGTGATGCCAGCCGTGGACCCAGGTTGGGGGCGGAGTCGCGAGCAGGCACCTGGCTGCTATGGGCACCCCCAGCCCCGAGGTCCTGATATTCGGGTGTGGTCCGAGGCTGGCATCAGCCTGGCCCACGCCCAGCGCTGTGTTTCTTCGGCCGAGGCTTCTTGATCCATTCGGGTCAAGATTCACCATCCGCCGCGGGCATCCCTGACCGTGTATGCGTTTCAGGGTCCCCTTTTGGAGGGGCTTCAACCCACAGAGACAGAAGAGAATTGCCCCCGAGTCTCCGGGTAGGTGAGAGGCCAGCCCAGCGCCCCGCACCTGCTCTCCCTTCTCGGCCACAGCAGAGCCCGGTCTTTCTCCCTGCCAGACGCTACTTTGACAGCCACGGTCACCCCCGGCTGTGCGGCCGGGTGGACGTGCCGGCAGGGACACTGGCGCTGTGTGGGCCTGTCCCCAGCGTTACGCCCCCTCCCCTGCCCCCCACCATCGCCTGTTCTCTCGCCTGCCTGCCTATCTCACGTGCCCTTGCCTTAAGCCCCTACAGGTGCCATGACTCAGCCGCCCCAGGAGGACTTCAACAGGAGCGTGGAGGACGCCCGGGACTGGATGAAGGCCGTGCACGAGCGGCTGCAGGTCAACGACAACACCCAGGGGCCCCGCGCGGCCCTGGAGGCCAGGCTGCGGGAGACCGAGGTATGCAGCGGCCACCGCTTCCGTAGCCCCGAGGCCTCCGTGTGCCTCCCTCTCAGGCCTGAGACTAGACCAGGGCTTCTCCAACTTGGATGTGTTTGAATTTCTTAGGGAGTTGGGTGCAGACTCTGATCCAGGGGTCAGGGTGAACCCCAGCTCTGGCGTTTCTAACGCGCTCCAGGGGACGTGCCGCTGCTGGTCCTGGGACCACACTTTCGTAGGAAGGGGCCGGAGGGGCTTTCTGGTTGTCCTGTCCTGGCAGAGGCGCTTTGCAGCCGGGTGGGTCCCCCACCCAGCCCTTCCTGTTACTTCCCTGGTTCCCCATGTTGAAGGTCACTGTCAGGTCTGGGTGGGCCCAGATCGGCCTTCAGGAGGGCGGAGAAGGGACTCTGCCCAGTGAGAAGTGACCCATCAGCTTCTCCAGGGCCAGGGTCTGGCCTTGCTCCCTGTCTAGCACAAGGCAGGGCTCAGGGCGTATGGTGCTGCGCCTACCGGCAACGCTGGTGTCCAGTGCCTGGTCCGGCATTATGGTGCCCCCATCCGAGGGCACCTGCTCTGGGCCAGGGGGCCAGGGGGTCAGGGGGTGGAGCCTGGGCTAATGTCTCCATGCTGATGCAAAAGTGCTGTGTGACCTTGGCCAAATCCCTATCCCTCTCTGGGCCTCGGGTCATCAGAGCCATGACTTACGCATCTCTCAGGTCACACCTGTTGGGATAGTCCACAGTTCTGATTTGTCAGCTAACAAGGGTCGCTCTTAAGGGAGGGACTACTGTCTCCTACACAGATTGATCTCCTGACCGGGCTAGACGTGGGGCTGGCCCCATACGCAGCGCCCTGCGTGCTTCCTCGGGCGTGCTGCCTTTCTGATTTTGTGCATCTTATGGAAAATACCTAATGCTCTTTTTGAATTTTTTTTTTTATGTTTTATTTATTTCTGAGAGAGAGGGAGAGAGAGAGAGAGACAGCGTGAGCAGGGGAGGGTCAGAGAGAGAGGGAGACACAGGATCTGAAACAGGCTCCGGGCTCTGAGCTGTCAGCACAGAGTCCGATGTGGGGCTCAAACCCACGAACCGTGAGATCATGACCTGAGCCGAAGTTGGACGCTTAACCAACTGAGCCACCCAGGTGCCCCACCTAATGCTCTTTTTGGAAATGGATGGTCAAAAATCAAGAAAATGTATACCATGTCTTTAGGGCCGATATTTTAAGGCTCACGACCACGCTGTGAAGGGTGAGCCTTTGTGCGCATCTTATTAACACGGAAACTGAGGCTTAGAGAGGTCATGTGACTTGTCCAAGTTGAAAAGGTCTCTGGGCAGGACATTCCACCCTGGAATTTGAGTCTTCTGATTGCTTGTCAGATGAGTTTTCTGCTTCCCTACAGCGTCATGTGCTTCTCAGATGACACAGTAGAGCCGTACCCGGCAGGCTGAGAACCGCACGTTCCATTTAATAGAACAGCTCCCTGGACTTGAGAGAGGACAGGTTTTGGAGTCTGGACATCTTGGGTTCAAATCCCAGCTCTGCTTCTTGCTGGCTGTGTGAGTCCCTGCAAGTCACTTGACCCTGCTGAGCCCGTTTACTTCTCTTCTCGAATGGGGTGACATTAATTATCTAAAGTGGTCCTTCTCGGTCCTTGAGTGGCCTGACTCTGGTGGGCCAGAGACCCTCTACTTTGAGTCCTGTTTTCTACTGGCCTCCCCCGTGTCAGGCCTCGGACCCTGGCCTCCGGACCCCCAGGGGACTGTCCCTGGTCCCTGCCCTTGGGATGCTCCTGACATGGCCCCTGCCCACACACCTTAAGTAGGTGTCCTGTCCCGGTCTGCGAGGTAGGCATGGAGGGGCCTGCATCCCCCAGCACGGAAGGCTGCCTGTCCCTGGTGTGGCGCCACCTGAGCTCTCACCATCCTGGGCCACTTGTCCTTCTGTGACAGCCAAGGACAATTGCTTGATGGGGCTGGTCAGAGGGCCCCACCGAGTGACCATGATGGCAGAAAAGGGGGGGGGCCACTTTTAAGTCATATGGTCGGAGGCTTCCCAATTGGACGGTGGAGTGAACAGAGAACCCAGGATGCTTTGAGGCAGCCTGGGGTGTCAGGCCTCTGGGGACAAGTGACTTTATTGCTGAAGCTCAAATACAGACGAGGTGGCCAGGTTGGGGGCTGCAGGGGTGAGGGTGGGGAGGAGGGGGCTCCCGGCGGAGGGAGCAGCAGAGGAGAGACCGAGCAGGTGGGCATGGCCCGAGGCACGTGCTCGGAGCCCCAGCAAGGCTGGGGTTGGGGTAGCACCAGTCATCATGCGGGAGCAGGGGACAGGGCCAGGAGAGGCGGTCAGGGGCCAGAGGCGACAGCCTAGAACACTGAGCCGGGAGCTTGGATGCCTTTGCTGCGACGGGGATGGCGGATTGGAGACTTGGAAGGAAGGTCAGGGGTTAAAGGAGAGGAGTTGGCCTTGGTCATCATCAGCATTGTTACTGTCACCAGTAGGCATTTATCAAATGATTGGTCCTCACAGATCAGACAGAGGGGACCCGACATTCATTCAACACCCATCACGTGCTCAGGGCTGCACTATCGGCTTTCAGGTTGAATCTCACAAAAGCCCTGTGGTGGTTTTATTAGCCCCACTTTTCAAGAATAAAATGTGATTCCTAGACGCTAGGAACTGATATCGTTGGGACTTGAACCCAGGGCCGAGTCCAGAGCATCTCTGGCCATCCCCGTGCGGGAACCTGGGGCAGTGGAGACGGCGAGGGGTGCACCTTACTCTGGGGCTCATGGCGTAAGGGGGGACAGGGGACGAGACACATAATCCAGGTTGCACCAGGACCTCATGATGTTACTGATGTTGTTCCCCTCCTCTAAAACCTTCCATGGCTCCCTGTTGCCCACCAAACTGAAACCAAATTTTACCTGGCATCCAAGTCTGCCACTATCTACCCCACCCTGTCTTCCAGCCTCAGCTGCCCCACCCACCCACGTACCGAGCACACACCCCCTCCTGCTGGCAGACCGCCTAGATTTCCTGTCCGCGGGTCTCTGTCCTGTGCTGCTGTTGCCTCTACTTGGGATGCCCTTTAGTTTACGTGTGTGTGTGTGCGCTTGTGAAATGAAACACTCCCGCCGCCCCCAAGCCCCGGCCCCAGCTCCTGAAACACCATAGCCGTGTCTGTGTGCTTGCTGGTTCAGGGTACTAATCCCTTTGCACCTTGCAGCCTTATACTGGCAGGAAGTTACCCTCTGGCGGTGGGTCAGGCTTAAGCCGGGGCAAGAGTGGTCCTTAGGAACAGCCCTTGGCCAGGCCAGGGTGGAAACTGGAGGGGAGCACGCCACCCCCCACCAGGCGGAGCCCCCAGGGACTGGACTCGGAGCCTAGGTGGAGGGGTCACACGCAGGGGCTCCATCTCTGGCTCTCCCACGGGGCTCAGCCTTGCTACTTTCTGGGCTTTGACATTTCAAAACCCGTTTTGCAACAAGAAAGAAAACATTTCACTCCTGCCATCTGGTGAAGGGAGCAGCTGGTGACTTTTCCACCTTCACGTCCGCGGGCCGTGGGGGCCTCACCTTGGGGGCGGGGTCTCCCCTGGGGGGCCCCCCCACCAGCTCAGCGATGTGCGTCCAGGGTGACTCTTCGCCAGAGTGGCCAGGATGTGAGTCCCAGTCCGGCTCGGAAGCTGCATAGCTACGTGGCCAGAAGCGAGTCCCGTGCCCTCCTGCGACCTCCTTTCCTGGCTACAAAGTGGGAGCAGAGCCCTCTCCACCTTGGGTACCGAGGGGCCGCTGGCGGCTCGGGGACCCTCATGGTGGTGGAGCCTTCTGTGAAGGGAGACGGGGGGAGGGTGGCTCCCGGGGTTAGTCCCCGCCATGGCTGCGGCGCCTTGGGAGAGTCTCTGGAGCATCTGGGGCTTCTGCTTGTTGGGTGGGGGTGGGGGTGCTAGTTGCCACCTTGCAGGAGGGACAGAATGAGGCGAATGACTTAGAGGTGCGCTTGGCAAGGCTCAGGCACCCTGGCGGAGCCGGCCCGATGGATGAGGTTGTTTCTCGTGGTTTCCCTGTGGGGATACGTGCACGCCCACCCTGCTGCCCACGCCCGAGCCTCCGGGAGCGGGGCCCCCAGGTCCCAGCGCTTGTCCCCTGGTCCTGTGGTTTCCAGCCTCGCGGCCCTGCGCTCGGGGCCCGGCCTCAGCCAGGCTGCTTCCTAACCGGCCTCCGGGCCCCTCTGTGGCCAGAGACAGGCTCCATTTCCTTGGACTTGGCCTCCAGACACAGTGCGCTTCCCTGCCTTTGCTCAAGCCCCATCTCGATTGCGTGCACGTCGCTGAGCCTCAGTGCCAACCCCACCTACTCGCAAGCCTCCTTGGGTTTCCCTGTGTGCCTCGTTGGTGCTCCGGTAATTACTCTGTGGTGTCTGTGGCTGTTATAGTCATGCGTGCTTTTCTCTGCGACCCCACCACGGCCTGCACGCATGGGCCATATTTGTTCCTCCTGGACCTCAGTGCCCAACACAGTACTAGCATAGTACCAAGAATAGCACCCAGTATAGTACCTAGCATTGTACCCAGCATAGGACCCAGCACAGTGCCCAGCATAGTACCAAGAATAGCACCCAGTATAGTACCTAGCATAGGACCCAGCCCAACTTAGCACCCCACTCGGTACCAAGCATAGTGCATAGGACCCAGCCCAACTTAGCACCCCACTCGGTACCAAGCATAGTACTCAGCACAGTGCCCAACTCAGGACCCAGCACAGTACTGCACATAGTACCCAGTGCAGTGCTCATCTTAGCACCCCACCCAGTACCAAGCATAGTCCCCAGCACAGTGCCCAACTCAGGACCCAGCACAGTACTGCACATAGTACCCAGTGCAGTGCTCATCTTAGCACCCCACCCAGTACCAAGCATAGTCCCCAGCACAGTGCCCAACTCAGGACCCAGCACAGTACTGCACATAGTACCCAGTGCAGTGCTCATCTTAGCACCCCACCCAGTACCAAGCATAGTCCCCAGCACAGTGCCCAACTCAGGACTCAGTACAGTACTGCACATAGTACCCAGCATCGTACTGAGCAAAGTACCCAGCACAGTACCCAGCACCGTACTTACCTGGTCTTGGCTGCATAGATGGAGACCCCTGACTAACCCATCCCCCCAGCTTTCCTGATGTATCTCTTCTCTCCCCGATCCCTCCACCCAACCCCCACCTGACTGTGGCTCTCATTGGCTCCTTCCCATGAGAATCATTTTGTACTCCTTCCCAGGCGGCTAGTCCTTCCTGCCAAGCTCTCCTGGGTCCTGCTGGTGATCGGCTCTAAAGGACCCTCACACTGGCCGAAGAGCATAATCGTGACAGCAGTGAAGAAAGGTGGAAACGACTTCTTCAAAGCCAGACTCATCGGCTTAGCCACAGCCTCTGGCCCCCGGCCCCCAGCAAACACCCTGTTGGTTGATATTTTGGTCTGGGGGCAGATGCTTCTGCTGGGGGCCAGAAGCTGGGGGCTTCTTGCCATCCCGCCTCTGGGACTGGCCGCCTCTCCTCTCTCTGGGAGGGAAGGGCGGTGGAGTTGGCCATCTGCCGTGTGTCCCCAGTCCGGCCAGCCCCTCTCTGAGCAAGAGTCGGGACAGCAAAGGTCCAGAGGCCTAGAGGAGGTCACATAGTCAGGAACCGAGGCTTTGGGAGAGGGGCCATTGTCCTCATGGGGACTTTCCAGGCCTGGCGGTTCCCTCTGGGTGCGGCAGAGAGAGGCATTCAGCTTCTTCCCCGAGGCCGTGGGCTCCCTAGGTTCTGGATTCTGACTGAGCCTCCTTTGGACAGACAGCGGGTAGAAGTAGGCCTCTGATGGCTGCAGGGACCAGCCCCGCGGAGCCCAGGGGTTCGGTGGGCTCCCAGGGCCCTTGTCTGTCAGCTGCGATCACTGTGGCTGGCTAGCCTGGGGGGAGGGGTGGGCCCGCCGCCCGCCCCTCAGCGCTGGGTGTCAGAAAATCAGGTCCTTAAACTGAATCTCACGGGATGGTAAGAAATTCCTCCTGAGCCACCCCATGGGGCTCCTGCTCCTGAGTGGGGTGAAATGTTCTGTGCAGGGGGTGGGTAATCTTGCTTAGCCCAGAACATTCCGCAGTGGCCCTTGGATTGTTGGTCCACACTAATCACTCTAATACCTTAGTCTTCTTCATGGCTGCTTGCTGCTGAGTGGGACTTGGGGTCTCGGTCATGACCTTCTGGGGTCCCACTGTATCCCTCCGCCTGGCTGGGCTCAAACAACAAACAAAATGCCTTTCCCCTTCTTGGGGTATCTCACCTGCCGCCCGCCCCGCCCTCGACACACACTCACAGACCGCAGAGAGCCTGTGGAAGGAGCCTGTTTAATTTCACTCTCTGGTAACACAGGTAGGAGGGGAAGTCCCTCGGCACCAGCATCGTCACCATCTTTGGTAACCAGTCTCACATGAAGCAGTAAAAAGGATTGACACCACTGCCCATCTGCACGGGTCAGAAAAGGGTCTACATCGTACAACCACCGTTTACGAAGTATACTAACACATCGATGTTTTAAGTAACTGTATTTTTAAAAATTAACGTTAGGACCCTACGGGGTAGACAAAGTGGCTGTTGTTATCACAATCCCCGGGGAAGAAAGGGAGGCCCGGGGTGATCAAGCCACCTGCCTGGCGTCACACAGCTCTCGATGAAGCAGCATTTGGCAGCCCCCTCCCCGCCCCTGCACCATCCACAGAGAAGGGTCAGAGACGGCCAGCCGGCTGGGACTTCATTCTGAGAAGTCCCCCAGGGAGACAGGCTGGGGAATACAGCTTGAACTTCAGGCAGATGTGCTGTCAGTAAAGAGGGCTCAAAGGTGTGTAAAGATAGTACTAACAGTGAACAGTTGGTGGCTGAGAATGGAACATGGGCCAGGCGGCGTGCCCAGGGCCCTCCCTGCAGCACAGAATGTTACTGCAACCCTGGGTGGTGTAACTGCCGTCTGCTCCCCTGCTCCCGTTTCATAGCCCTCGAGAATCTAAGTACTGTGACAAAGGTCAAGCAGGTGGGAGGGAATGGCTCTGAAATTGGAATCCAATTGGACTTCTACTACGGAGACGCCTGAGTTGCCAAAGAACTAAGTCATGGCAGTTAATAAGGACAAGAGCCGATGTTAATCAGAAACACAGTAACTTGCCAGACATTGTATATTCGCCTCGGTCTTCCCAGAGGCCAAGGCCAAGATGAGATTCAACGCGAGAGATGTTCTTTAGGGAAACATCCGTGAGAGAACAGGTTGGGAGACTGGGAGGGGTGAGGTTGGTCGGATGTGGGTCTGACCCCCAATCCAGGAGATCCAGGGAGAGTCTGGGGCCGCGGCGTAACTCTAAGGGAGGCTGGCAAGGCCCTGGGGTTTCCTGGACCTGTCACCTGTCAGAGGAGCCCGATCCCTCGGGGGACAGGCCTGCCTTCACCTTCCTGCTTGGTCACTGGTAGGAGCAGCTGAGGGAGCAGGGCCTTGGTGCGAACTGCACATTCAGACAGAATTCTGGAGCCTCGGTCGGGGCTCTGGGTCAAGCCCACTCCCTGCAGTAGATCTGAGAGGCAGATTCTCACAGCCCCACACAGCGTGACATGCACCTTGCATTTTATGTTTATTTATTTTTATTTCCTTAAGTTTATTTATTTATTATTGAGAGAGAACAAGAAAGCACGAGCAGGGGAGGAGCAGAGAGAGAGAGAGGGAGACACAAAATCCGAAGCAGGCTCCAGGCTCTGAGCTGTCGGCTCAGAGCCTGACGCGGGACTTGAACTCACAAACCGAGAGATCATGACCTAAGCCGAAGTCGGATGCTTGACCGACTGAGCCACCCGGGCGCCCCTACCTTGCATTTTCTCCTTTAATACTGAAAAGAGTTGGGGAGCTCGGTACTATGAGTGACCCCAGTTTACAAAGGAGGAAACTGAGCCCGGGGAGACAAACGTGTGTGAGCTCACACAGCCGGAAGCGGCCCGGTGGGAAAGGGAGGGGCCTTATACCATCAGGCGGCTCCACGGTTCTGTGCGAATCTCCCCAGTTCCTTGCTTCCAAACTCAGGGCCTTTAGCTGGCTGCCCCCGGGTCACAGGAGGAGGTAAGGGACGCCATTTGAACCCCAGCCCCTCTGGCCTCAAAGTCCTGGCTCTTTCCATCATGCCACCGTCTGGCCAATGCTCTGCCTTGTCTCACCCCTGGAAACTGGCTTTTGTGTCCACGGCAGAAAATATGCCAGCTGGAGCCGGAGGGGCGCGTGAAGGTGGACCTCGTGCTGCGGGCGGCCGAAGTCCTCCTGGCGTGTTGCCGTGACGACCAGAAGCCCGAGATCCTGGCCCAGCTGAGGGACATCAAAGCCCAGTGGGAGGAGACGGTCACTTACATGACCCACTGTCACAGGTAGGGCGGCTGGGGATTCCCGGCCCCCCCCCCACGCCTTTGCTGTGGACCCTCCTCGTCCACCACCGCACTGTCCTCGGGCCTCTACCCAAAGGGACATTTCTCCAGTCCTGGAATTGCTGAGGACAGGATGTCCTCCTGGGATTGGGGCCAGCCCTGCCTGCCTCTTTCTAATTATAATCAAGCTTAATGACGATAACGGGCAGTGGGAGCCCATCATGTTTTGCCCACAACGCTTTCTTAGTAGACTTGCCGTGTGTGCATCTTCCAGCAGGGTGGCCGGGCGGCCCCGGTGCCTGGCCAGCCACTTAGCCCAGATTCTGTGCTTGTACCTGAGGGGCAGGGAGGGAGGGGGCTGAGGCGGGCCTGAGACTGCCTCTGGCTCTGCTGCCTGCTTGCATGTGGTCTTGGGAGGGTCACTTGACCTCTCTGAGCCCCAGGCTCCTCATCTGGATGATGGGTATAATCAAGTGTTCCTTGAAGGCTGTCGGGAAGACAGGAGAGGACAGCAAATGTCACGAGCCAGGCACAGTAGGCCCTCAGTGACCAGAAGCGGCTGGTCCCCCCTCCTTCTTTAGGGCTGAGTGGCCGGGATGACTTTGTGCTGTGCTTTCTGCCTTTCAAACCCATTCACTTGGAATTGCGAAGTCGTTTGACGTTGGCTGGAGAGACGGGGCCATCTCCATGTTACAGATGGGGAAACTGAGGCGGGTGAGGGGGTAGGGGTATGCAGCCAGCTCATGGCGCCTTGGGAGCCCACACACGGGTCCCCAGCCTTCTGCCCCACTGAGCAGCGACAAGCCCCGGACGCCTGTGCACTGTGCCCATTACTAGACACACTCCCACTTCTGAGGTGGGGCCCAGGGCCTGGAGGGTCCCCAAGCTGCCCAGGTGACTGTGAGGCCCCGGGACAGTGTCATTTCATTGCACTCCTTCCCACCTCCCCCCGCCCCCCCAGTAGTGGGGAGGGGGCGGCGGCCGGGCTGCCCGGGCGGCTCACACCCCGTGCCCTCTGTCCGCAGCCGCATCGAGTGGGTGTGGCTGCACTGGAGCGAGTACCTGCTGGCTCGAGACGAGTTCTACCGCTGGTTCCAGAAGGTGACGGTGGTGCTGGAGCTGCCCGTGGAGCTGCAGCTGGGCCTGAAGGAGAAGCAGTGGCAGCTGGGCCACGCCCAGGTCCTGCTGCACAACGTGGGCAACCAGGCTGTGCTCCTGGACCGGCTGCTGGAGGAGGCGGCCTCCCTGTTCAACAGGATCGGGGACCCCAGTGTGGATGAAGACGCCCAGAAGAGGATGAAGGCCGAGTACGGCGTGGTGAAGGCCAAAGCCCAGGTGCGTGAGGCGTGGTAGGCTGTCTTCACCTGTGCACCCATTATCCACCTCTGTCTACCTGTGCACCCATTGTCCACCTCTGTCTGCCTGTGCGTCCATTATCTGCTTCTGTCTACCCGTGCAGCCATTATCCACTTCTGTCTACCGGTGTGTCCGTTATCCACTTTTGTCTACTGTGCAGCCATTACCCGCCTCTGTCTACCCATGTACCCATTACCCACTTCTGTCTACCTGTGCACCCATTATCCACCTCTGTCTGCCTGTGCGTCCATTATCTGCTTCTGTCTACCCGTGCAGCCATTATCCACTTCTGTCTACCGGTGTGTCCGTTATCCACTTTTGTCTACTGTGCAGCCATTACCCGCCTCTGTCTACCCATGTACCCATTATCCACTTCTGTCTACCTGTGCACCCATTATCCACCTCTGCCTCCCATGCACCATTATCCACCTCTGCCTACCCATGCATCCATTATCCACCTCTGCCTACCCATGCATTCATTATCCACCTCTGCCTACCCATGCATCCATTATCCACCTTTGTCTACCCATACGTCCATCATCCACTTTTGTCTACCCGTGCATCCATTAGCCACCTCTGTCTACCCGTGCATCCATTAGCCACCTCTCCCTACCCATGCAGCCACCCACTTGCTTCCCATATGCCTCTCCCTTCATCTACTCACCATTTACTGTGCAAGCACCCAATACCCACTCACCACCCAGCCACCACCTCCATCTACCTACCCTCCTCCCACTTACCATCTGCCCCCCACTAAACTATCCCGTCTGCTTTTTGCCATCCAGCCACACCCATCCACTTACCTGCCCAGCTATCTCTCTGTACCCACGCCTCCACCCCAGCTCTCTCCCACCAGCCTAACCAGCCTCTTATTCATCCTCACAACCATTTGCTCACCCACCCGTCCATCTACATGCTCACGCACCTACTCATCAACCCACTCCCCCGTATGTGTTCACTGTTCCCACCCATCCCCCGCCTCCCCGTCACCATGTGCTCACTATCCACCTGTCCCCCACACTTCCTGCACTCACCCACCCACCCCCTAACTACCACACACCTTTCATCTACTCCACCACCCCTCCTTCACCCACCCGTCAGCCTATTATCTATCATCCATACACCCAGTGCCACTCAGTGCTTAGCACACGTGTCGGTGCTTAATACGTGTGCACTGACCGACTGACAGACCGAAAGACCGCGATGCTCGCCTTTGCCCGGCTCCTCCCCTCTTCTCCCCGCCCTTCCTCCGCTGCTCTCTTGTTCTTCCCCTAACCCTTCTGCCCGTTCTTTGTCCCCCATCCCCATACCTCATTATATCCTTGATTTTTAACCAGTCCATTGAGTTGTCAAGTTCAATCATTAGTATCTTTGGACGGAATTCTAATTGGGTTTTTATTACATTCACTGTTCTTTTCTGCATCATGTGAATTTTGCCCTGTGAATCCAGGTACAGGTTATATCTGTAATCATTCCAAGTGTACGTATTTTATAAAGCCCATCAGATTGTTCAAGTAGCTGAGGTTTCGGAGCCTGATGCCGCCATCTATGGGGTCTTCTGCCCTGTGGACCCTTTCCTTAGGGTCTTTGTAGTTCTGAGCTATGAGCTCATGCTGAGCAGGACTTTATCTGGAGACCCCTGTGACTGGGGCCGGACACTCCCCGAGTGGCTGGTGTTTGCCTCATCGAGGCTCCCCTGGGGATTTACCTTCATGATTCCTGTGCTTTCACATCAGTGCCTTGTTGACTTGGGAATCCCTGCATCTCAACTTGAACTCCAAGCCAAAATTATGCGAGAGGCCCCTGGCTCCACATTCTGAAAGGTGATTAGTCTTTCATTTGATTTGTTTTGGTTTTTATCCCAGAGCCCACGCTGAAACCCAAACTTCTTTCTTGCGTTGTGCATACGGGGAAATTTTTCCAGTTCACCCTTTGACAGTCGGGGTGGGGTGGGGCAGGGAGGCAGCCTCTTGAGAGTTCTGCCTTTTTCAGTTGCTTCTGGACCCAAAGTCTTACTTCCTTCTCCAGCTTGAGCATCAAACCCAGGAAAACCTCAAGCGCACACATGACCTTAGCAATCTGTAACATCTTTGCTTGTCATCCACGTGATGTCTCTTACCTTGGTATGTGCATGGGTCTGCATTTAAACAATGCTTGTTAAATTTTATGCAGCCATTTTGGCTGTCTGTCGCGGAAGGGTGTGCAGGTTTTGTAGTCCGCCACGTTGCTGGGTCCTTCGTGATTACAGTTTAAGGGCAACAGACCTGTAATGGACAGAGATCTGGGAATGCACTAGCAAGAACAGGACTCTGGTCCCTGGACGCTTGGGAAGAGGCCTGGGTTCAAGGCTGGCTCTGCCTCCTTCCCAGCTGTGTGGCCTCAGGGCAGCTCACCCTACCTGCTAGCAGATGAGGGCCGAGTGAGTGCACGAGGGCTCTTTGAAAATGGGCACGTGGTTTCCCCACATAAAGGACACTCCACTCCCAACAGCAGTGAGAACAAATAGCAACAACAATGGGTCCTGACACACGGCAGGTGCTCAGAGCTGTTTATTGAATGAGTGAGAGCCCCGCCCTTCAGCTTGGAGGCTCATGATTCCCGGGGCCGCAGAGGGAGGTGGGGGGTGAGGTGCTGGGGCAGTTGTGCAGGGGCCAGAATGGACAGGAAGGCGGGTGTGAGTTTGGCTCTCACGTACGTAGCCAGTTGGCCCTCACCAAGTCCCGAGTGGCAAGGGCGGGCTTAACAGCCATTCTCCGCGTCCGGCCCTGGGGCCCAGGCCGAGAAGGTGCCGTGCATGGCCTCCTGTGACTGCACAGGAAGCAGGTGCGCCTGTCAATCAGCTGAGAGCCGTCCACGCAGCATGCAGGGGACAGGAAGTGGAAAGTAGTTTGGCCTGTGTGTGTGTGTGTGTGTGTGTGTGTGTGTGCGTGCGCACGCCTGTGTGGAGGGGGCGTGCCAGCAGCACTGGGTGAGCACAGTCCTGGCCCACGTGTGCAGATGCTCACCTCAGAGGTTCTCACAGTCCCTTGAGGGGACCCTCCCCTCACGGGGTCCAAAAATCAGAAACACCACCACGCTTGCTGACGATGGCGGTCTTTTCCAAGTCCCTTCGCGTCTTTGCCCTCATTTGCTCCTCTCAGCCTCCTTGTCTGGTAGACAGAGAAGGCTGGACTGGGCCCTTTTGGCAGACTTAAAAAAAAAATCTCAGTGGCAGATGCCATTGTCCCACTCGAAAGACCAGAAGTTCTAGGCGACTCTCAAGGTCGGGGTCTTCTCTCGGCGGTGCCTCAGGTCCTGTGCCCTGTGCCCGTCGGGGGGGAGCCCGGCCGGCCAGTGCTGCTGCGGGTCACACTGACAAAGTGGAAGGCAGCAGTGAGTGGGCGGTTCAGAGCCCCTGGAGGAGGGGGGAGCCCCTGGAGGGGAGGGAGGAGTCCCTAGAGGGGAGGGAGGAGCCCATGGAGGAGGGAGGAGCCCCTAGAGGGGAGGGAGGAGCCCGTGGAGGAAGGAGGAGTCCCTGGAGGGGAGGGAAGAGTCCCTGGAAGGAGGAGCCCCTAGAGTGGAGGGAGGAGTCCCTGGAAGAGAGAGGAGCCCCTAGAGTGGAGGGAGGAGTCCCTGGAAGAGGGAGGAGCCCCTGGAGGAGAGGGAGGAGTCCCTAGAGGAGAGGGAAGAGTCTTATAAGGACTCTGACCCCATGATGGGGGATCGCACCCTCAAGACCTCCCGTGATCCTGATCACCTCTCAAAGGCCCCACCTCCAAATACCATCACGTTGGGGGTTAGGGCTTCAACCTTATGAATTTGGGGGACACAGCTCAGTCTGTCGCAAACGTCATATGTATTAATACCTTGACATTCACCAATGAGAGCCCGTTTCGACGTTCCTCAAGCTACTTAACAGGCCATCGTTTTCACTTCTGAGAACCCACTTTTGACCTCTGACATGTTAACTGGCAAAGCCTCTGGTGTTGAGGGGAACAGGAGCGCAGGAGCACCGTGGGGGCCGCCTCCTGGACTGTGGCCGTCGTGACCACCCCCTGCAGGGGGGTCCTCGGACTGGATCGGCTGGCCAAGCCCGGGGGGGGAGCAGTAGCCCGCTGCCAACCCCAGACACTGAGAGTCAAGAATAGAGCGGGCTGGTGGCCAGTGGGGTCCTGTTTATTATGAGTGTTTTTAATCCACCAGTTACGTTTTCTGAAGGGCCGGGCACATAGCAGCCTCCTCCTCCTCCTCCTCCTCCTCCCTGCCTCCCCTGGGCGGCTCTCAAAGGAGGCGGGTCTGTCTGGCATCTGGACCATGAATCAAACTTGTTGGCTGAGGCTCGCAGAGACATAAATCCACGCCGCCCTTGTTAATTGGTGGGGTTTTGACGTTCCTGACAACGCTGCCTGCCACAGAGGGTTTAATTGTCTGGCCTGAGGGGCGAAGGTTGAGGACTCCCCCATCCGTCACCCCTGTCATCCTGCGACGCGGCCGGCCCGGCAGCGGCTGAATTGTGCTCTGCGATCGCTATGCCTGGCACGGGGCTCGTCTGGACGCCTGCCCGCTGGGCCACGCTGCTCTCCGGGCGCCTGCTCACTGTCACGGGGGCTCTTATTTACTCTGGGTTTCCCGAGCGCCAGCACCTCATCGCTCACACGCGGAGCCGCCGGCCGGCGCGTTCTGGGGAGACTTCACTTCGCGACAACATCCATCACCATCAGCGTCAACCAGGGGCCTGGCATTTATTCTCTGCTTGTTATTCCTGACCCGCTTTGTTTCATAAACGAGGCTCTCCTGCGGAGGCTCTGGGAGGGTTTTGATGGATGCAGACGGTCCCGCAGGAAGGGGGTGGGGGCACGGGAATCCTGAAGCAGTGGTGGCAGTGGCCTCTGTCTCTTGGTCTCCGTGTTTGGAATTCAGACGCCCGCTGTGCTTTGCTGTCACTGCTTACACTCCTCTAAGCGGGAGGCTCCCGGCTCTGCACGGAAGGACTTGGTCTCGTGCCTTGGTTTCCCCATCTCTAAAATGGGGGTTCTTTTCTCCTCCCTGTCATGGTTGTTGCAAAGGTCGGGATGAATTAATTCGTATTTTCAGGTTTGGCGGGAAAGACCATGTACGAATAGCAGCGAAGCTGTCTGAATCCCTGTGTCCGTCTGCGCCTCCCTTTGGGGAACTTTGGGCTGGGTTGTGTAGCAGAGGGCCAGCGACCTCCTAGACATGGCCTGCTCCCTGGCTGAGAGCGGAGGCCAGCATACGACAGCCCCTAGGCCAAATCCAGCCCATCTCCTGGCTTCGTATGGCTCGTGAACCAAGAATGGCTTTTGCCTGCTTAAGTGGCGGAAAATAAAAAGCCGAATCTTCGAGGACATGTAAAAATGAGGTGAACTTCACATTGCAGGGTCCAGATTTCAGTTTCATTGGGACATGAGCCCGTTCTGCATGTTTGCCTGCGTCAGCCTGAGAGCCATTAGTAAGAAGGGCGTAACTGGTTACAACAGAAACCACGAAGTCGGAAACATCTACCCCCTACGGTCAGCCAACCCCTGGCATAGGGCAATGGCTTTGCAGTTGGGCTCTTGCCGTTTACATCTTGTCTAGAAGGCTCTTCAAGAGCTATGTGGCCCCCAGCGTCAGCTCGGATGTCTGTGGAAGGAGAGGGCTTGGCATCGCTGGGACGATTAAGTGTAAGGTAGTGCTTGTCACGCTCCAGGCGCATGGCAGGTGCGTAGGAAATGGGGGTCCTTGTGTTTCCTCTTCTTGACGCTCATTGGGAACCTCCCGCTGCCGGCCACACTCAGTGTTGATTCTTCCTGCTGTCTGGGAAGCTTTCATTCACGGAGCCTGGGGAGGAAGTCAGCAAGGGGCTGCGTGGTGGGTAGGGAGCTCTGGACTCTCAGTGGGTGGAAGGCATGGACAGTGCCAGAAGAGAACCCCAGGACAAGGGGAAGGCCGCTCGTTGAGTCTGGGGCCGCAGGCCAAGTCACAGGCTGTGGGGCCCGGAGGTCAGTGCTGCCGGGCAGAAGCGCTCACGTACCCACTCCTGCCGGGTTGGGTGTGATGAGAGCCCAGGGGAGAGCAGGTGCTTACCAGCTGCCCAGCGCGGTTCTGGGGTGGTGTGAGTTCTGACTCATTTCATTCCATTGCACTCTGGTGAGGTGGGTTATTAACCACATGCACCGAGAGACTTGGACACGAAGCAGGCCAGCGTTCACGTCATGGGCAGTGGGCTTCCAAGCCAGAGTGTTGGCCGCAGGGCCGCAGCCACGTTGTGGGGTCCTGCCCTTGACCAGCATGCTGCAGCACTTGGATCTGGGCCTATGGGCAGTGGGGAGCCATGGAGGGCTTTAGAGAAATGGTGTTGTGATCAGGGGCGTGTTTGAGAAACAGTCCCTGGGCACCCAGGTCTGATAGCAGGGACCTTTATTTCTCAGATGACAGCCACGCTCAGGACACATCTTGCCCCTGTGTGGTGAGGACTCGAGTAGGACTGTCTGAAAACTGAGGTGACTCCAGCCCATGCCGGCAGCTTTGCACAAACGCCGTTGGCGCAGTCTTGCCTTCTGGGTTTGAATTTGGTGCTTTCCCACCCAGGTGACCTTGGGCCAGGGCTTCCTGAGGCACCTCTCCCATGCCCCAGCTTCCCCGTGTGTCAAACTGCGGTCATAACGGTGCAACCAGATGGGGTGGTCGGGAGAGCTCAGTGAGGTGAGAACGTGCCCAAGGTCCCTGGAGTGCTCCCGGCACCTTGGTGAGTGCTCCACCAATGGCGTGTAGCAGGAGTTGTTAAATGCTCCTACCGTTTTTCTTTAATGTTTATTTATTTATTTTGAGAGTGAGTGTGTGTGCAAGCAAGGGGAGTAGCCAGAGAGAGGGAGAGAGAGAGAGAGATTGAGAGACAGAGAGAATCCCAAGCAGGTTCTGTGCTGTCAGTGCAGAGCCCGATGGGGGCTCGAACTCATGAACTGTGAGATCATGACCTGAAGCGATATCACGAGTTGGATGCTTAACCAACTGAGCCACTCAGGCGCCCTTAAGTACTGTCTTGAGTCCCGTTCCCCAGACACGGCAGGAAAAGAAAGCCAGCTGTATAGTTGTCAGGGCCCAGATTGGACATGCTCTGACCCAGAGTCTCCTGGGTTACTACGGATAAGGTAGCGAGGAGGCTCTGGGATTCTTTATCTTTGGCAAAAGGGCAGGGGGTTAATTGCATGTCACACTCCCTACACCCCCCCCCAAACACACACACACACACACACACACACACACACACACAAACCCTACCCCGCCCCACACACACACATGCAAGTCTTGAAAGCCAAGGGTAGCCTGGGCTGGGGACCTTCACGGATGGTGACTGTCCCTCCCTTTCCCCCACAGGACAGAGTGGACCTGCTAGAGCAGGTGACCCGGGAGCACGAGCACTTCCAGGCACGCGTGGACGAGTTCCAGCTGTGGCTGAAGGCGGTGGTGGAGAAGGTGGGCAGCTGCCTCGGGCGGGACTGCAAGCTGACCACGGAGCGCCGTCTCTGCACGCTGCAGGTGAACTTGACCGAGTCTCTACCAGAGGGATCCACTGAGGAGAGGCTCAACCATGGGTTGCTGTGTGGTCATTTATTTACTGCGATGTGCTGGGGGCCCCGGGGGATACAAAATCCACGGCACACAGACCCCATGCGAGATGCACGGAATGTAGTGCAGTATGTGTGGGGCCTCGGCGGCTTTATGGAAATCTCCGAGCCGGCAGGGCATTTGGAAACCCAAGGTCATGGCGGCATGGTCTAGACCAGTGGGTCTCAAATGGGGGACATCTGGCAGTGTCTGGAGACATTTTTTAGTTGTTACACCTGGAGGTGGAGATGCCAGTGGCACATGGTGGATGAATGGCCAGATGGGTTGGTCCGCACCTGTGATGTGCAGGGCAGCCGATACAATGGACCCATCCGACAGCAGGTGTCAGCAGTGCCATGGGTGGGGAGCCCTGCGGTGGAGACATCAAGTCTGCAGTGGAGACAGGCTTGGTCCTCTTTGGCCTTCCTGAATTGCTGTGACCTTGAATGAGCTCCTGGCTTCCTCCGTAAAGGGAGTGTTAGATTATCTTCAGTAATTCAAGGACTACTTTATAATTTTTGCCACAGATATACACCACCTGTACCACTTAATATTTGTATGTAAGTTGATTCTTCTTTAAAGACCAGTGAACAGTAACCCCCCCTGCCCAATCCTATGTGACTAGCATAAGAATGTTCATCGGGACCTTATTTGTAATGGCCCTAAACTGCAAACAACTCAGATTTTAGTCAGCAGAGTGTTGGATTAACATATTTGGAACAGGAGATAGATATAGATATAGATACAGATATAGACATTGGTCACATGTCTCTATCTCTGTCTCTATCTATATATAAAGGGCTATGACTCAGAGTAAAAAAGAATGAAGTGCTAATACCTACAGCAGCATGGACGAATCTAAAAAACATGATTTTGAAACTGGAAAGAAGCCAGTTTCAAAAAATAATATATTCTGTGATTTCAGATATGTAGAGTTCTAGAATCTTTTGGGATGTTTAGAAATGCCTATATTTGGATAACAACATGGACTACGTGGGTGTGCATATTTCTCAGAACTCTTTGAATGGTGATGCTTAAGATCTGTGTAATTTATTCGAAGCAATTACACTTCAACACAAAAGTAAAATATTTTGAAGGCACTTTCAAAATAAAAAAGATTAAAAAGTGCCTCTATAGATGTTTTAAATGAAAAACTAATGAATTGTTATATGAAGGGAAAATTTTGGTCATCGTCGTGAATGGAAAACCCAGTGCTCACTTGTAATTAGTAGATAACCAGACAAATAAATATAATGAAACCCAAGGGGGTTGTTAGGTTCTATTTGGCCCCTTACTTCTGCCAACTGAAGGCTCCAAGCCCGAGGCTGCCTCTGTTGTTGTTAAAAAGGAAGAGCAACAAACATCAGAGAGGGTTAAAGGCAGACATACTCAACCTGGGTTTTCTCCTTGACTTAATCAAATGGTTGTAAAAGTTGCGGGAAGGGAATTACACCCTCCTGTGCTATTAAGTCAGTGCCGTGAAGGCGGACAGTCCACCCCTTGGAAAGGCACCTCTGGCTCTCATCTAGGAGTTTGCGTTTAACATGACATTCCCAGGGGCTCTGGAAATGCAGCACATCATGTCTTTTCCCCCTTGTATGTTTCCCCATTACCCACCCCTCCCTTCCCCCCCCCACCCCGTCCCCTTCAGGAGATCGCCAGCGATTTCCCCAGGGGTGAGGAATCCTTGAGGAGGCTGGAGGAGGAGGCTGTGGGGGTCATCCAGAACACCTCTCCTCTGGGTGCAGAGAAGATCACCGAGGAACTGGAGGAGATGCGGAAAGTTCTGGACAAGCTGCGAGCCCTCTGGGAGGAGGAGGAGGAGCGGCTGCAGGGCCTGCTCAAGTCCATGGGAGCCTGTGAGCAGCAGAGGCGGCAGCTGGAGGCCGAGCTGGCAGAGTTCAGGAAGGACCTTCAGCGGCTGGCCGAGGATGGTCTGGAGCCCGCGGCGAAAGCAGGGACTGAGGACGAGCTGGTGGCCCGCTGGAGACTCTGCTCGGTAAGTGGGGTTTGGCCAAGACAGGGATGGTCCAGATGACATGTGTGCTTTGGGGCATCACAACTTGGAGCTGCTCTGCTCTGCTCTGCATGGGGAGAGAGTCATGCTAAGCTTTAACCACATAGACTCTGGTCCCTCTAGAGCTTTAAGTTCCCTGGCTAGAGTACACAAGTTGGATGTTTGTACCCATTTTCCAGATGAGGAAGCTGAGGCCTGGAGAGATTTCCCTTCCCCCCAACATCCCCAAGATCACATGATGAATTTGTGGGTAAATAAGACCAGCAGTGGATTGCCTAGGGGTCTGCCATTCCCTGGCCCAGTGTGGCACATGGGGTGGACTTCCTGAGCCCAGAGCAGGGAGAGTTAGGTGAGAGGGCAAGTGCTTAGTGTACAGACAATAGAGCTCTAGGGAGACCAAGCCAACAGTGCCCATCCTGTGGGGGTGGAGTGGGTTCTGACCCAGACACAATGTCCAACTAGAGCACAGTCGCCTTCCCCCCACCCATGTGCACACTCGGGAGGTCTGACTTACGGACAGAGAGGTTTTTTAAAATCAGGATTAACAATCTCCCTCCCTCCTATCTTTGCTTATCAGCTCGGTGGGTTAGCTCCACGGCAGTCCCACCAGGGGAAATATTTAAAAGAAAAGCTCCCCAGATCCTGCCTCCACTCTGCATTGTTATTCTATTTTCTCTCTTCCTTCTAATGTTTGCCCATTTGCAAAAATATTTTTGTGTGGGTAGAAGCAAAGCACAGACTCTTTAGGGCTCATGGAGCCCCGTAGGAGACCAGATTCCCCTGCCGCGATCAACTGAGCGCAAAGAGAACCACTTCCTCTTTAGGACCGTTCGCCTCGGCACAGGGAGAGGTGGCCTCTGCAGTGGCGAAGGGCGGGACTTTGGGGTCAGACTCTGCCTGTGTGCAGAGCCTGCTCTTTCTTCTTGCTAACCGGGTGGCCTTGGGAGAAGTACTTTAACCTCAGTTCAGTATGGACCCGGATGAACCCGTGAAAACTTAAAAAGTACTTAGCACAGCACCCGCCAAAGTGGATGCTCAAAAAGTACCGGCTCTTGCCACTAGATGACAGATAAGGGTCACAAAGTACAAATTATGGAGGGAAAGCCTGGGAGGCCCTGCCGCTGTTTCATCGCGACATCTCCTTGCCTGTGCCCGGCTGCGTTTCAGGGAGCCTTTCCTGAGGCTGGAGCTGACCGCATCCCTACGGAGGCTCTCGAGGCTCTCTGCCCCACCCGAGTCTGGTGTCACCTCAATGATGATCAAGCCATGATTCCCCGAAATCAATGAAAGAGAAGCTTGGAATGTATGGCTAAAGACTTTTGTTCCTAAATGAGCATTCGCCCAGGTGCTGTTTGCACTTACGATGCGCAGGGGCAGACACGCCTCGCCTGGTCCAGCCCGGCCCTCGGAGTGGCTGGGTGCCCTGGGGTGAGGCTAAGTGTGTGGCCGCCAGGCAGCCCCACCTGCTCTGGCTGGGAGTGCCCGTTGCCCAGCAGAGCAGGGAAAGGTAGAGTACAAGTATCCTATCTTGCATCAGAAAGGAAGTTTGGACTCTTCCCTTCTTTGAGCAACAGGCACAATTCAAAGAAGAGGGTTGTGTGAAGACTGCGGCTGAAAGCGCAACGTAGAAAGCATCTGTGAGGGACGCGTCTATCTTTTAAACCAACATAGTGGGGATTGTACTTACCCAGCATGCAATGTCCTGAGTGCTGCATCACCTTATGCGGGGGTTCACAAAGCATCAAAGCATCTTGAGATCACTGTTCCCTTTGGTACCCAAGAGTCAGGCTAAGAGCCAGAGGGCCCAGCGCCCATGTCGGGTCCACCGTTTCCTTACTCTGCAACCACCGGAGAACTCTCAGAACTCTCTATACGTTTCCTCATGTAGAACGTGGGGCGTGGAGGATGCTTCTAGAGTCTTTGCCTCACTTTGGTGAATGGGACAGCCAGAGCACTCAGCACAGAGTTGCTGCTCCCTAGACACGAGTTGTTCGTATTATTAGCTGCAGCTACTCAGGCCACCATGGGGAGGCCAGTGGTAATAAAGAGGAAACCCAGCTCAGCAAGAACAAATGCTGAGTTCGAGGCAGGAAGCCGGAAGCTCGAGAGCAGGGGCCGGGCTCCCAGGGACCCCAATCCCTGCCCTCGGTGACAGTTTTTTTTTTTTTTAATATTTCTTATTTATTTCTAGGAGAGAGAGAGAGACAGCGTGAGCAGGGGAGGGTCAGAGAGAGAGGGTGATACAGACTCTGAAATAGGCTCCAGGCTCTGAGCTGGCAGTCAGCACAGAGCCTGATGCGGGGCTCGAACCCATGAACCATGAGATCATGACCTAAGCGACACTCGGACGCTTAACCGACTAAGCCACCCAGGAGCCCCCCTCGGTGACAATTTTCTCCCAGGCTAGCCCACTCCCACCAGCCACGCTTATGCCCCATTACCCAACCTTCCGCACCCCTCGGGTTTCTTCCCTGTGCTGCAGGCGACGCGGGCGGCCCTGGCGGCGGAGGAGCCCCGGGTGACCTGGCTGCAGACCCAGCTGAAGGAGCTCATCGTCTCCCCACATGACCTGCAGCCGCTCTCCGACAGCGTGGTCGCCGCGCTCCAGGACTACCAGAGGTGCCCGGGGCAGGCCGAGGGCGGTGGGGCTCGGGGCACGCCTTGCACCTGACGCTCACGGGGCCTTCCAGCCTCATCTAAAGCCATCTCTGGAAGGTGACCTTCCTCTTGTGACCTGGTAACTCTTAAATCATTCTGGCGCCCCTTCACCACCGGCGTTTGGTTCCCAGAAGGAGGGCTGGACTTGGCTTGGTTCTCTGCTGAGCGGCTCGTTCACTGATTTCCATTACGTCTCTGTGCAGCTTAGCACTGGCGAGGGGCCCCCCAAGTCACAGCCCAAAGGGAGGGCTTTGCAACAGCCAGGCACCATCCCCCGGCCCGCACGTGATGCAGAGATCGCATCTTCAGACCAGCCTCTACCTCCCCCTTGGGCTCTGGGCTGAGGCAGAGCTGAGCAGAGACCCCACCACACCCCACCCCACCCCACCCTACCCTCAGAGGTGTCGTGAACACGCACGACTGTCCCCATATCCAGAGCAAATCTCGTCCCTCTGCCTGACACAGGGGTCCCTTCAGAATCGACTCAGGAGCCTCCCCCCTCGCTGTGTGACTGTACATCAGAGCAGGGGCCCCAGATCCCCTGGGGGGGGGCGCTAAGGTGGTGCCAGGGACCCGAATTTCCCACGCACAGGGTGGCCGAGGGTCTCCCCTCCCCTCCAGGTTCTCTCGTTGAGGGTTTTCTGTGTTAGCCGTCTATGACTGGGTGCTGGGCATTGGATTTGAAAGGTTATTTCTAGAAACTATTTGGGCCTAGGAGGATGGGTCTCTTATTCTGGAAGGGATTTTGCTTTAGCTCCTGTGAGGGGCCCGGGGGTAGGCAGTACTGGCTGAGGGGCTCCATGCTTCCTCTTCAAGGCTTGACCTTCTCTGGCCATGAAGCTGGGCCACAAGGCTGTCTGGGAACTGGCCACACAGAGGGAGAGGCCCCTGAGGCCCCAGAGCCACTCGGGCAGCCTGTGGATGGGGGAGAGCCCACCCTGGGAGAGGTGCGAGCCGGGCGCCCCGCGGGTCCGGATCGAGGCCTCGGTTCTGGACTGACCGCGCTGTCTCCTCTCTCGCTTCCCCCCCAACCCCCCACCCCTCCGTGGCCCCTCAGCATGAAGGGGAAGAGCACCAGGCTGCGCAATGCCACGGGGGCCGAGCTGTGGCAGTGCTTCCAGAGACATCTGCAGGACTTGCAGCTGTGGAGGGCCCTGGCCCAGCGGCTCCTGGACATCACCGCCAGCCTGCCGGACCTGCCCTCCATTCACACCTTCCTGCCCCAGATCGAGGTAACCGTGATCCCGGCAGGAGGGGCAGGGGGGCAGGGGGAGGCCACCAGCCAAGCCTGACGCTGTAGCCGTTCTTCCAGGGAGAGGCGCATCTGCCTCCTCCGGGGGTCTGGGCAGAGCCCGTTGCACCCTGCCTGGCAAGGCTCAAGTTGGCACGGGAAATGTTACTGTTAGCAGCGACAACGGTCCCCCTCAGTTCGTGGGGAGGAGGCAAAGCCTGGCCCCTGGTGTCACCAGAGGACTTCGTACTGACCCTCCCACACCCCACCCTTCAGGACCCTCCTGCGGACGGGCCTCTGGTGGAAGCATGAGCAGTTCTGAGAGAGAGCACGTTAGGTCATTACCTTTGCTGTGTGTGTGTCAATTGGGACGCATAAGACAACTGACAGAAATTACGACCAACCATAGCTTAAAAGCCAGAGACTTTCGGGGGGTCCCACAGCTGGCCTTGATTGCTCAACAGTATCTTCCAGAACGCAGGCTTTTTCTAACTGTCAGCCACATCTCCCTTCGTGGCCCCAAGATGGCTGCCACCGCAGCAAACTCGCATCTTCACAGGAGCAACGTCTTGTTGAACAGCAAGGGGGCAAAAAGGCTTCTCCCCTTCACCATTTCCAACAGGGAGGCAAACCCTCCTTCCCAGAAGCCCCAGCAGACCCTCCTTACAGCTCATTGGCCAGGCTAGGTCACATGACCATCCCTGGCCCAATCACTGGCTGAGGATGATGGGATTGCCAGGACTGGCTTATTTACCAATTACAGATAGAACCCTGTGGTAAAAAAGTTATTAAAGAAGACAGTTTACATGATACAAACAAACTTTATTTAATATTTCATGAGGTGGACAGCATCCTTTTGGAAAGCTGCAAAACGGGGCAGAAGGCAGGAAGGTTCAATAGGATAAAGAATAAAGAGGGGCGCCTGGGTGGCTTAGTCGGTTAAGCGTCCGACTTTCGCTTAGGTCATGATCTCGCGGTTCGTGGGTTCGAGCCCTGCGTCGGGCTCTGTGCTGACTGACAGCTCAGAGCCTGGAGCCTATTTTGGAGTCTGTGATTCTCTCTCTCTCTGACCCTCCCCTGCTCACGCTGTCTCTCTCTCTCTCTGCTAGAAATAAATAAAACATTAAAAAAATTTTTTTGTAGAAAAAAAAAAAGACTAAAGAACAAGCAAAGACAAATAGAAAATATCTGATTGGCTGACAGTCAGCCTTGTTTGGGGTGAGAAGGCCCAGGGTTGGCTTGGTGTTTGGGGATCATGGACTGGATGGCCTGCATTTCTGGTCAAGTGGAGCATTTACAAGGACTGGAAACTTAATCTGAGTTTCACTTTGTTGCCTTGGCACCTAGGGTAGCAGTGGCCCCAGCTTGAGCCTAGAAATTTATTTCAACACCTGTAACTGGGCTCTTTGTCACCCAAACAAAATGCTGGCTGTTTGGTGACCAAGAAGGAGGAATGAGTGTTGGGGTGAGCAGAGGGCGGTGTCTACGGCAAATGCCAGTCAACATGGCAGCTCTGCCTGGCCCTTCGACACTCCCTATGGTGTCCTGCAGCTCTGAAGTCCGTAAGATCCTTGGGGGTCTAGGGATTCTAAGATGTACACAGTGGGAGGAGACACAAAAGAGTATCAGATGTAAACCTTATTTAAAAAATTTCTCTTGGGGCGCCTGGATGGCTTAGTTGGTTAAGCAGCCGACTTTCGCTTAGGTCATGATCTCGCGGTTCGTGGGTTCGAGCCCTGCATTGGGCTCTGTGCTGACTGCCGGCTCAGAGCCTGGAGCCTGTTTCAGTCTGTGACTCCCTCTCTCTCTGACCCTCCCCTGCTCACGCTGTCTCTCTCTCTCTCCTAGAAATAAATAAAACATTTAAAAAAAATTTTCTCTTAATGTTTTTATTTAATTTTGAGAGAGAGAGAGGCAGAGTGAGTGGGGGAGGGGCACAGAGAGAGGGAGACACAGAATCCGAAGCAGGCTCCAGGCTCTGAGCTGGCAGTACAGAGCCCATCATGGGGCTCGAACCCACGAGCTGTGAGATCATGACCTGAGCCGAAGTCAGACGCTTAACCGACTGAGCCACCCAGGCGCCCCTAAGCCTTATTTTATATTAGCTTTCATTCTGGTTATAAAAGCCGTGCCTTCTTGGAGAGTGTAAAGATTTGTGAAGAAGGCAGCAAGCAAGCCGTAAGACCCCCATTAACGTGCTGAGGGATACAACATCACATTTTCTCTCCAACCTGGCGTTTCTGGGGAGGCCCTTTCCCAAGGACTGACCTCTCCTCACTGTTAAACACACTGCTCAGCTGCACACCAGTGCCTGCGGTTTGGGGTGTCTGCTCCCATGATTCTCCAGCGGCGGGGCGTAGCCTTTCCTTCTGGGGGTCCCGTGGGCTTCCTTCTCCCAGGCTCTGAAAGATGACTGCCCATCTTTTTGAGGGACTTCCCAGGGCTCCCAAAAGTGAATTTTATGTGTGTCACAGAAACCCACTTTAGGCTAGCCAATCCCAAATAGACCCTCCATATCTGATGAAAATCCATCTAGACATTTCCATGCAGTATTGTCACTAGTAGGCCAATGCTTTCATTCATTCTTTCCAATTTTTGCATATTTGGGATCATGTTATATAGTTGTGTATTCTGATATTTTTAGTTGGCGCTTACAAGCTTCGTTTAAAATGGTCCGGGGACGCAGAGTTGCCTGATTGGTCGGTTAAGCATCAGACTCTTGATCTCCGCTTAGGTCTTGACCTTACAATTTGTGAGTTCGAGCCCCACCTTGGGCTCTACACTGAAGGCATGGAGTCTGCTTGGGATTCTGTCTCTCCTTCTCTCTGCCCCTCCTCTCTCTCTCTCAAAATAAATAAACTTAATAAAAGTAAATAAATAAAATAAAATGGTTCAGGGGGCCTGTCCAAGATGGCAGCATAGAAAGATCCTGAACTTAATGTCCTCCTATGGGCACGTTGAATCTATCGCTACATATAGAATAATTCCCTCTGAAAAAGACCTGAACACTAGCAGAATGGCTGCTTGCATCAGATGGTAAAAGGGCTTCACTGAGATGGGGAGGAGAGGCAGAGACAGCATCTGGCCAAAATGCTCTCTCCCAGGTCCGTGACTCACAATCAGGAAGCATCTCACACATTTGGGGCTTCTCAAGGAGCAAGGGGTTTGTGCCCCACATCAGGCACCCAACCCCTGGGACCTACAATGAGGAGATAAACCCCCAAAGCACCTCACTTGGAAAAGTAGCGGGGCTCACGTCCTTGCCGGGAACTGAGGTTCTTCTTGTGGAGGGCTTATGCACAGACTCGCTTGCTCCAGAGGCCAGTGCAAGAGCGGCAGTTTGCAAAGCACTTGGACTCTATATGAAGGAGATACAGTTGCCGAGCTTAGGATGCTGGGGGAGGGGCCTTTAGAGATTCACTGTGGGGATGGAAGAGCCGGCAGGTGCCATGAGCACCGCCCCCTCCAAATCACTAACACCAGGGTGCACCCCAGCCCTGTGCTTTCCCGCTGTCTGGCTAGAGCTGGTGAGTGCATGCATTCACACAAGGTGTGCTCCTTGATCGTCGGGCTGCGGTGGCCAGGCTGGCTTACATTTCCGGGGCCCCCAGGACTGTCACATTGGAGAGTCAGGTCCTGTAAGGCTGTCGCTCCCCAGGCCACTGCACAGAGAGCAGACTGAAACACACCTTCAGTCTTCCAGGGACAAAATCTTATTTCCTTGACTCGGAGCTCCAGCCCAAGGAGCACACTTGAGTTTTGCCACATACTGAGCAGCCTGTAGAGGTGCCATCAGAGAATGTAGGGCAAGGGACGCCACCTCTGCACTGTCGCTCGGCTTTGCTAAGCTCACTGGTGTCTCCCGGAAGTGGACTTATGTACTGTCCTGGGACCCCAGTGTGGGTGGGTGTTCGACTGTGGTCCCACGGGACTGTATATATTTGCATAAAAGATGCTTCCTGAGGGTCTAGCTTCTCATCATCCCGAAACTAGGTGCTAATGGATCCCTTCTCCTGGCACTCTGACAGGTCTGGGTACTCCCTCAGCAAATGATGTTATTAAACATAAATCAGGCTGGTGGCGCCTGGCACGCCACTCCTGATCTCAGGATCATGAGTTCAAGCCCCACGGAGGGCATAGAGCTTACTTTAAAAATATGACCAGGCTGTTCAGACAGTCACAAAGTTTCAAGAGGCAATGAAAAGCTAAGGCAACGTTGAACAGTTAAGTTTCATCTCCTACACAAGGCCATTTCTTCAAGACCGGGAGAAGTAGCCGCTTCACCTAATACATAGAAACAAACAAAGACAGCCAAGAAGAAAAATGAGGAAACAGAGGACTATGTTCCAAATGAAAGAGCATGATAAAACCTCAGGGGGAAAAAAAACCCTAATGAAATGGAAATAAGTAATTTACCTGATAGAGAGTTCAAAGTAGTGGTCCTAAAGATGCTCACTGATCTCAGGAGGAGAGTGGATGAACACAGTTAGAACTTCCAAAAAAAAAAAAAAAAGATGTAAGTAGTTAGAAAGTACTAAACAGAAGTCATGAACTGAAGAATGCTGTAACTGCACTGAAAAATACTTTGGAGGGTTCAAATGCAGACCAGATGAAGCAGAAGAAGGGATCGGTGATCTAGAAGGCAGGGCAGTGTCAGAGCAGCAAAAAGAAAAGAATTTAAAAAAATGAAAATAGCTTAAGGGACCTATGCGACAACATCAAACAGAAGAACATTTGCATTATGGATATTCCATAAGAAGAAGAGAGAGAGAAGTGGGCAGAAAACTTATCTGAAGAAATGAAGACTGAAAGCTTTCCTAAACTGGGGCAAGAAACAGACATCCAGGTCCAGAAAGCACAGGGATCTCCAGATAAGATGAACCCAACGTGACCCGCACCAAGACACATTATAATTAAAATGTCAAAAGTGAAAAATAAAGAGAGAATCTTAAAAGTAGCGAGAGAAAAATAACGCGTGACACACAGGGGAACCCACATATGACAATAGGCAACTTTGTCAGCAGACACTTTGGGCAGACATTTTTCCAAAGAAAACACACAGATGGCCCACAGGCATGTGAAAAGATGTCACATCACTCATCAGCAGGGGAGTGCGAATCAAAACAACAACGAGATATCACCCCACACCTGTTAGAGTGGCTAAAATCAAATGGCAAGAAATAATAACGCATTGGGGAGGATATGGAGAAACGGGAACCCCAGCACACTGTTGGTGGGGATGTAAACTGGGGCAGCCACTGTGGAAAAACAGCATGGAGGTTCCTCAAAAAATTAAAAACAGAATTGCCATATGATTCAGCAATTCTACTTCTGGGTGTTTATCCAAAGAAAACAAAAAGACTAATTCGAAATGGTGTATGTACTCCATGTTCATTGCATCGTTATTTACAATAGCCAAGGCCTGGAAACGACCTAAGTGTCCACTGATGGATGAATGGATGAAAGAAAATGTGATTATATCTATATCTGTATCTATAACTATATCTATGTCTACGTCTATATCTGTATCTATATCTATGTCTATGTCTTTATCTGTGTCTGTACCTATATCTGTATTTATATTTATATCTGTATATACAGTAATCTGTATTTAAATAACATGGTTGGACCTTGAGGGCATCATATTAAGTGAAATGAGTCAAACTGAGAAAGACAAATACCACATGATCCCACCTATATGTGGAATCTAAAAAAACAAAACCAATCCCATAGATAGAGAACAGAATGGAGGTGGCCAATGGCCAGGGGTGTTGGGGGCAGGTAAACTGGGTAAAGGGGCTCAAAAGACACAAACTTCCAGTTACAGAGTAAATAAGTCATGGGGATGTAGTGTACAGCATGGTGACGATAGTCAATATTGTAGTGCGTCGTAAAAGTTGCGAAAAGATTTACCAAATCTTTCAAGTTCTCATTGTCATAAGGAAAAAAGAAATTATAACTTTGGATGGTGACAGTTGGCAGTAGATTTATTACGGCGATCATTTCGCAGTGTATACACATATTGAATCATTATGTGGTGTCTCTGAAACTAACATATTATGTGTCTATTATACTTCAAGGAAGAAAGATACAATGTTTCCAAAAAATCATAATTTTAAATGGCTGCATAGTTTCCATGGTAGTTTTTGTTCCATGTGTACAGTATTTAGATTGTTTCCAATATTCCTTGTCATAATTTGTATATGGTGAGGGTCCATGTACACAGATTTTGGTCTCCATTTCTATCATTTTCCTCCTCATTTTGCTGATGAGAGACCAGAGCCGGAGAGAAGTTAGGGTGCTTGTTCACGGGGCCGCTCAAGAGGCCGAGCTGAGGCCAGAATGGCGGGCTCTAGACTCTCACCTTAGGTTTCTTATTCTTGCTGTCACACCGGGTCCTGGGGACAGGTCTGCCATTTACAATACGGCAACTTTATTATTATCATTTGACTGTTGAGGAAACCACGTCCCAGAGAGGGGAAGGTACTTGCTCAGGGTCACACAGCAACTAAGTGTCGGAGCTGGTTTTGACCCAGGTGTGTTTGACTCCACGGCAAGTGCTTTTCCCACTGGCTCAGATTGCATGTCCATCCTGTCCCGCTCACTGGGGCAGAAAGCTAACCAGGACCTGTGCCAGGCGGGAGGGAGAGGCAGTGTCTTTCAGGAGGTTGACTCAGGACTCGTGAGGCGGGAGTTTTGTGGACCAGTGGGTTGGAACAGGCGGGCAGACTGTGGTTTGTCCACGCTGTGTGTTGGCTGGGATTGCATCTTGCATTGCGCTCATGAGTCTTTCACACACGGGATGGATTTCACGGGCCAGGCTCAAGTGGCCAGCTCTGTTTTTCCTGGCTCAGCTCCTGCACTTAACCTCAGCATAGCCAATCAAGCTGCAAAGTTCTTCTAGAACTAAGGCATCAGGCCCCAAAGTCGAGCATGGCTGAGATGCTAGTTTCCAAGGACGGCTGTAACCATGCTCCCAAACTAGATGGCTTAGAGCCATGGAAACTCGCTCTCACACAGTTCTGGAAGCCGGAAGTGAAAAGTCAGGGTGTCTGTCTGGAGGGCCACGCTGTCTCTGCAGGCTCTGGGGACAATCCTTCCCGCCTCTTCTAGGTCCTGGAGTTTGCTGGCCAGCGCTGGTGTTCACTGGCCTACAACCTGTCCCTGCGCTCTCAGCCTTTGCTGTCACACGGACAGCTTCTCCCCACGTGCCCTCACATTGTCCTGCCTCGGTGCCTGTGTGTCTGGGTCCAGATTTCACCCTTTTTTTTTTTTTTAACATTTATTTATTATTGAGACAGAGACAGAGCATGAGCATGGGAGGGGCAGAGAGAGGGGGAGACACCGAATCCAAAGCAGGCTCTAGGCTCTGAGCTGTCAGCACAGAGCCCAATGTGGGGCTCGAACCCACAAGTAGTGAGATCATGACCTGAGCCGAAGTTGGATGCTCAACCGACTGAGCCACCCAGGTGCCCCCAGATTTCCCTTTTTAATAAGCGCACCCGTCATGCTGGATTAGGGTCCACCCTAATGACCTCATTTCAACTTGATTATCTCTGTTTTAAAGACCCTGTCTCCAAATATAGTCACATTCTGAGGTAGTTTGGTTGGGGGTGGGGGAGGGGCGGATATTAAGACTTCATTATCTTTTGGGGTCCACAATTCAACCCGTAGTGGCCGGTTAGATGGTACAAGCCGTCTGTTACTCGCGCGCCAGTACATGCTGGGTAGGCACCACCCCATTTCAGCCCTCATACCAACCCCGAGAGTGGGGTGTGACTGTGCCTATTTCACAGATGAGGAAAGCGAGGCTCAGAACTACCCAGGGCCTCCCAGCTTGTATGGAATTTACCCTCATGATCGTAACTTCTCAGCCTTAATTCTTAACCACTGCGACGTTGTGTCCGGGTTTTCTGAAAAGAGAGTGGAGGGTGCCCTCCCTATAAAGAGGCTTTGTTCTCTCTGTGGCTGATCACACATGGCCTGCCCTCACGGGGGGCAACAGCAGTGCAGCTGTGTCGGCCATGTTTAGGCTGCCCTTCCTCTAGGGAGTCTCTGCTCTTCCCGGGCTGTTGGCAATACCGCCTCCTCTGGGGAGGCGTCTCAGATTTCCCCAGCTAAGGGTGTTCAGCTCTGCCTCCAACACCCATCGGACTCTGTCGAAACTTGAAGGGAAAGGATCACTTTCTGCCTTGGGTTGCAGATGCCTACCTGGGTTGGGGGTCTTTATCCCTTCCCAGCCCTGTGCCCAGCTCAGTTTCTCAGTAATATCACCAAGTATAAAATGGAAGGACTCTGGCCAGCTGAACACAATTCCCTTGGCCTCCGGGACCCGGGGCCCTCAGATCAGCAAGAGGTGCTTACCTCAAACAGTCGGTCTGCAGAAGCCTGAGTTTGGCACGGGGCTTTGGGGCAGGAAGAGTGAGTGTAGGCTGGGGATGTGGTCAGGGCAGGCTTCCTGGAGGAGGCGGGGACTGCGCTGTGCAGAGTGCAGGGTGTGTGGGAGCCAGCTGCTCATCACATAAGTCTCCCTTCGGTCTTTCCTTCACCTGGCGAGCTCCTGCACATCGCTACTCCACTCAGATGTCACCTCCTCTAGGGAGGCTTCCTGAATTCCCACGTGCTCCCATAGGCTCCTAGCTCTTCAGAATGTCCCCAACAGCACCCAAGGGGTAGTCCTGCTGCTGCCGGTGATGGGGGATCATCGAGTAAAGGACCCAGCTGGTGCTGTGCAGGTGCAGCCGCGGTGTGGGTGGTCGATGCTGGAGGGGCAGCTGGGGGAGGGGCAGCGGGCAGTCAGGAGCTGCTGTGGTCCAGGGGGGCGAGGCTGAGTCGCCATGGGCACGGGCAGCGGGGATGGATGGAGAGGAGGTACACCTCTTGCCCAGGCTTCCCGGTCCTGCCCTGGGGGTCACAGAGGCCTCATCCCCCGCAGGCGGCCCTGGCGGAAAGCTCACGCTTGAAGGAGCAGCTGACGACGCTGCAGCTGAAGAGAGACCTGCTGAGGAGCATCTTTGGCCGGGACGAGGCCACAGCCCTCCTGGAGCAGGCGGCCAGCGCCGTGCGGGACCGAGACCTGCTGCACAACGGCCTCCTGCAGAGGAAGAGCAAGCTGCAGGTGAGCGTCGCGGCTGCCCGGGGACAGCCCTCCGGGGAGGGAGGCAGGGCGCCCGGACTCCTCCCTCGGCGCCACCACCGGCCTCTGGGTACCTGCCCCAGCCCGTTGTCCCCTGGGTCTCAGCTCCTCACCTGTGACCCGGTGCCCACCTGCCGCCCCGGCCCCTGCCCCTGAATCTCCCTCGACACTGCCGCCAAGCGGAGCTGTCTTCCAGAGGAAGCCAGGGTGGGGGTCGAGGGGGTGGAATGAGAAAATGCAGAGACAATTGCCTGTGAACTTTAAACCACCTAGAGCTGGAAGCTAATGGTATTAGGAGCACATTTCTGAACGACTGCACGGCATCGAAGGGGTAACGGGGTGCGTTGTGGATGGTGTATTCTTTCATGTAACCAATGTTGGCTGAGCATCTGATGATGATGCTGACCTAACGCCCGGGCACCGAGGGGGGCTGGCACTCGCTGAGAGCGCCATTCACACCCAGGACCTCGTCTTACCCAAGCAGCAGATGTTTAGCAAACATCTTAGGGTTTGGGGGGCAGACAGTCTCTGCCACGGCTCCTCGGGTCTGCCACTGTCTCATGAAAGCAGCTCTAAGTGAACTGGCCGTGTCTCAATAAAACTTTATTGACAAAAACAGGGCTCCGGTGGGATCTGATGTGTATGTGTATTATGAGATGCAGTTCTGTGCTAGGGAGCAGAGCAACTGTCATGTGAAGATGCCATGGTGATTCCAAGGAGGGGCGTCCGACCCCACTAAGGGCTCTGGGAAGGCTTCCTGGAGGGGGTGATGCCTGAGTGGATACGGGCCGGCCAGGAGAAGGCTGGGGTTTGGTGGTGAGTGGCTGGTTGTGCAGGGTGCCTGTGAGGGAATTTCCTAATCTGTGTGCTGTCCGTCTGTGTGCCTCTGCAGAGCCTGCTGGCTCAGCACAAGGATTTTGGGGCTGCTTTCGAACCCCTACAGAAGCAGCTCTCCGACCTCCAAAGCAGGGTCCATGCGGAGAGCGGCCTTCAGCAGGACCTTCCTAGGAAACAGGCCCAGCTTTCCCGGTTGCAGGTAAGGGCTTTGTGGGGCCCGAGCAGCCCCGCTCAGGTGCCCAGTTGCATCTTGAAGCAGGTCTCCCCTCTTGCGGCCGGGCACTGGCCAAACAGCAGCCACGGAGCCCGTCACCTGAGATCTGACCTTTCGTCCAAATCTCTGCTAGATTGATCTGGTGGCTTCTGGCCTCTGCCGGACCTTTCGCACCTGCAGACCGTGAATTCTTGAGCCTCAGATAATGATGAGCTATACTTCCCGTTTACTCTGTCCTTCCCAAATCTGATGTTGGTATTCGTTTTTAAAATTACTCTGCTAAGTGCTCCTGATGGGTACAGAGGCCTTCAGTTAAATAGTCTGATTTTGGAAGTGAGAATAAAGGTCTTAAAACACAGGCAGACTGTCAATAATGACTGGCTTGATAAGGAGGTTGAAGGATTTTAAATGCATGTGATGCCATTACCCTTCTCGAAGTCAAGCACTGCTCGTACATACATTGAGACAGTTCTTAGGAAGACATTAAAAACGGTGTATCCAGGGGCTTTAAAACTAAAGTTGGGGTGTGATTCTTCACAAGGAGAGGCGGTCATCAAGTAAGAATCCAGACGGGAGTCTGACCCCCCAGAGATGCCTTCTAGGCTATAACCGTTTGTTTTCATAGTGTCCCAGGGTAGTTTTGTCTCCTTTAAAAAAATCTCACAAGCTCTGAGAGGCCCATCAGATGGCCATATAGTGCAGCCGCTGGGGTGGGGGAGCCCCATCATGCTGGGACCTTCCCAAGCTCCCCCACTCAGAGCGGCCCCCCATCGGCTCCCATGATAGGAAATTAACATTCGGTTGCACCTGCTCCTTTTTATTGCAGGGGCTGCAGGAAGAAGGGCTGGACCTGGGGGCACAGATAGAGTCCGTGAAGCCTCTTGTCCAGGGGAACCGCACCCACCAGCACAAAGTGGACCAGCTTTCTGCCGACTACCAGGCCCTGGAGAGGTCTCTGGAGGTAAAACCAGGCCCCCGGGATCCTACGCTCTCTGCCTTTGCTTCCTTCATTTCTTCAAACCTTTCTTTTCTCTTTTTCCCTTCCTTTCTTCCCTTCCTCATTCATTCAGCGGCCGATTACTGAGCGTGTCCCCGAATGGCCAGGGTGTGTTCTGGGTCCCTGAGGATGAAGGCAGCACCAGGCAGACAGCCAACCCCCTGCTCCCAGGGTTATATTCTAGTGGGTAGATGGACAGTGAGTCTGCAAAACAACAAGTTCATGTACAATTCCAGCTGTATCTCCAGGAGGCCAAAGAACAGAACAGGCTGCTCTGATCCTAACAGCCCCGGGTGCAGAGGGCGTGGGTGTCTGGCGTGGTCAGAGCAGGTTGAAAATTGCGCCCCCGGCAGCTGGGAGCCTCCTCTGCGGCGCCCTCTAGTGGCCAGCCTGGTCTCGGTGGCGCCCGCACAATTCCGCTTTCCCTTTGAGCCCTGGGAATGGAACAGAGTGCAGGCTACCTCAAAACTGGCCGCAGGACAACTTTAAATGACCGATTCAGATGGGGTCTGGGGTCAGCATTTGTGACAAGCGCCCTGGGGATTGTGGAGCGGCTCTCAGGCCGCCACACCTCCAGAGAACTTAAGTCTAGGGGCACCTGGGTGGCTCAGTTGGTTGAGCCTCTGACTCTTGGTTTCCATTCAGGTCATGATTTCATGGTTTGTGAGTTCGGGCCTCAAACGCCCATAGCACGGAGTGTGCTTGGGATTCTTTCTCTCCCTCTCTTTCTGCCCCTCCCCTGTTCATGTGCTCTTTCTCTCTCTCCCCCTCTCTCAAGATAAATAAATAAACTTTAAAAAATAAAAAATAAATTAAAAGCCTTGAGTGACACAGCAATAAAAGGATTAGTATTTAGACAATACATAAAGAGCACGACAGAATTGGGATGTTAGCATTCGGCAACCCCTAATCATACTCAGTTAATGCCCCTTCTAATGGTTATCACGATCAATCACGATATCATTGGGCATCGGCATTAAAGCTGATGCTGGCTGTTCCTCTGGGCTCTGCGGGCCCCCAAAGGGCAGGGACAGGGGCTCCTAGCTCTCCCTAGTCCCCCACCTCAACCTGGAGACCACCAGCTGCTAATCTATTAAGTAGAGTTAAATCAGTTCATCTAGACCTTACGCACCAGGTAAAGCCATGTTTCCCGAAGCCATGTTTCCCGAAGCTCATGGGACGGTTTCGTTGCCGTGACCACAATAGAGCAGGGGTGACCCCTGCTGATACAGGGAGAGCGACAGGCGCCATCATCCCGCTCCCACAATGCAGAACTGCCCCACAGCCTGTGAGGTTTCCTGAACCACCCGGGTGCCCCGCTCAGGGCTTTTTAAACCTAATAAGTCTGTTCCCCACAGCCCAGGCAATTTTCCTGTCGCCCCTTGGGGGGCACAGACCCCACTAAGCACCCCCAGGCCATTGAAGGCGTTGAGTTTGACGCTGGTGCACGGGGACGGGGTGGGGGTGGGGGGCCCGTGGTAGTGACAGTGTGGAGAAGTGGCGTTTTAGGTAACTGTTCAGCCTCTTGTCACTGCTTTGTCGCAGGAAGTTGGGATGCACCCTCTCTGTGTCCTCAGCCCCAGCGGGCCGGGCGTCCAGGGGTGTCAGCTAGCATCTGGAATGCACGAGGGCAGGACCTGTGGTGGCCTGAGCCTCACAGCAAGCCCCTGGGTCTGACCTGCCTGCAACGGATGGAGGGGGAGGGGCTCAGAGGGTGCCAGGTGGGGTGGTCAGGCCAGGCACCCCCCTTTCCTGAAGGCAGAGAAGAACAAGGCCCCAGCCTCAGAGAGCTGGGAATGGGTGACCCAGAGGAGAGGGGTGAAAGCAAGACCGTTTTCAAAACCTCTCTATCAAAGTGTAATCATATATAGAAAAGAGAACATGTACGTGTGCAGTTCGATGAAATTTTAAAAACTGAACACAGCACCCGGGTCATGACACAGGAGAATACCAGCTCCCCGGCCCCCAGAGCCCTTCAGGGCCCCCCGCACTCACTGCCCACCACTCCTGGTGCCGGAAGGTAACCCTGATTTTTGACTCAGAACACCCTGGACTGAGTTTGCCTGATTTTATACGTTATGTTAATTGAATTAGATGGGATGTTTTATGTGTGTGTGTTTGTGTGTGTGTGTGTGTGTGTCTGGCTTCTAGCTGTCTGCATGCTGGCTGTAAACTCATCCATAACTCATATTAGACTGGTGCACAGATCGCTCGTTCTACGGATGAATATACCTCAACATATTCATCCTTACTTGTGTGGATAGGCACGTGGGTGGCTTCCTGTCTTCCTGTTACATCAGCACCGCGTGCATGCCTTTTGGTGAAGACATGTTCGTATCTGTTAGGTATCCACCCAGGGGGGACATGGTCGGTTCAGTCTTGGAAGATACTGACCTGCGGTTTTCCCAGGTGGTGTATGATTTACAGCCACACCGGGGGTGCCTCCGATTGCCCACACCGTCATCCAGACATGGTAACATCCACATAACAGTTAGGAAGGGTTAGAGACACTTTAGGGGTGCCTGGGGGGGGGGCTCAGCCAGTTAAGCGTCTGACTTCAGCGCAGGTCGTGATCTCATGGTTCATGGGTTCCAGCCCCGTGTCAGGCTCTGTGCTGACAGCTCAGAGCCTGGAGGCTGCTTCGGATTCTGTGTCTCCCTCTCTCTCTCTGCTCTTCTCCTGCTTATGCTCTGTCTCTCTCTGTCTCAAAAATAAGTAAACAGTAAAAAACAATTATTAAAAAAAAAAAAAGAAGGCTTAGACACACTTAATACTGGAGTTGGTCTTTCTGGAGTGAATCCCTGCACTGTGCACAAGGAAGGGCTCGCGTCTCATGTGCCTGCTGGGTGGGAAGCCCTGGGGGCCATCCTGCCCCGGGAAAGGTCTGGGGGTCCTGCAGGTGGGGTGACCTGGGGTCCCACCTTTGCCCTGGGGCCCCTGGGGCTGTCCCGCAGGACCTCATGGACAGGTGTCAGCAGAGCGTGAGGGAACACTGCACCTTCAGCCACGAGCTGCTGGAGCTGAGACAGTGGATCTCCGTGGTCACCCAGAAGCTGGAGTCACACCAGGAGGAGGCAGGCCCGTGGGATGCCCAGTCCCGGGAGGCCGAGGTCGAGGTAGGATGGCAGCTCCCTCGCTTGCATCCCCCAAACCAGGCTTGGGAGGCCAAAGATCCCATAGTAGGGGACAGAGACCCCTGCCCTGAGAGCCCATTAAGTGTGTGTGTGTGTGTTCGCGCGCATGCATGTGTGTCCTTTAGAGACTTCTGGCTGAGCTCCCAGAGAAAGAGGCCCAGCTGCCCCTGGTCGAGGCATATGGCCGGCTGGTGATGCAGAAGTCTTCTCCGGAAGGGGCTGCTGTGGTCCAGGAGGAGCTGGGGGAGCTGGTGGCATCGTGGCAGCTCCTGAGGCTTCTGGAAGAGAGCCTGCTGAGGTGAGGGTCCCCCACTCTGAGCCTGGCCTCAGACAACACCCATGTTCCACTGTGGGGAAAGCTCAAGGTGCCAGTAGAACAGGTGGTGGGGGCGGGGTGTTGGAGCTTAGGTGCCAGGCACCCCTGTGTATCTCCAGTCTGGCCCAGGGGCCGGAGCAGCGGGAGCAGGGAGGTGCCCCCCCCTTGGGTGTTAGCCTGCGGCCTGGGCTTCCCCCACATCGATAGGCACGTGCACTTTAAGGACAGGGTGACGCAGGTTGCAAGTAGGAAACTGGAAACGCATGAGATCCAGGAACGTTCCGACACACCCGAGGGGTCGTCACTGACTTGCGAAGACCAGAAGTCGGCTCCGACCCCGTGGGGCCCCCCGCTCGATTGCTCCCCTGACTGGATGAGTCCCCATCACATCCCCAGGCTGATGGGGCTGTTTGTCTTCTCAGCCTCATCAGAAACCAGCCGCTGCAGAGGACGGAAGTAGATTCAGGGAAGAAAACGATTTTCACCAACAACATTCCCAAGACTGGGTTTCTCATCAATCCCACGGATCCCGTTTCTGGGTGTCACCGCCGGGTGAGTCTGCCGAGTGGGGCTTGCCTGGAGAGGCCAGACCCGGAGTGAGGGACGGGGCTGGTCTTCAACAAAGCCTCTTCCCTGCCTGGGGACACGGGCTCAGCTCGGGACGTGGCCATGTCCTATCCTGGGTGTTGCACTGGAAAGAGGGACGTGGAGACCCCAGACCCGGGCCATGGGGAGGGTCAGAAGTGTCTCTTGGGCTGACGGGTCCTCACCCCTCGGAAACCTCACCCCTTGGAGACTCTAGGGCTGAAGGCTTCCTGCTGGCCCCAGACACAAACCGAAATCATGAGAGATGGGTACCTTTTTTGTACCGTTAGTCGTATTCTGTTCAAAAGGACTCACCCAAATCCCTTGTCCTGACAGTTTTCTAAAAAAGGAACCACATTGAAAAGACATCCCTTCCTTGTTAAAAAGCAGCACCTCCACTCCCATTCTCCCATGTTTTGCTGTATCGCCCCTTCCCAAATCACCGAGTGTTAACCGTGCCCTGTGGTGCATACCTGGAGCTGGGGTCCAGCTGTGAGTGAAACAATCACTTCCAACCCGCGGGAACCTAGAACCCAGCACAGACCTTTTCACGCAGTAACGTGCACCCCGATCGGAGGAATATGCAGTTTCTGGTCAGCGGGTCTGGGCCGGGGCGCAGGGTCCCGCATTTCTTGAGGCTCCCAGGTGGTGCCCACACTGCTGGGCTCCAGGGCACATTTTGAGGAGTGAGGAAGTGGGAGCCACAGGCAAGGAAGTAGGGGTTTACAGAAAGTACAGTGGCAGTGGCCAAGGGGCAGATGCCCTAGGGGCTGCTGCAGAGGGATCGTGACCCGGTTGTGGGGCAGCAAAGCCCTCCTGGGAAAAGCGAAAGATCAGGGGAATCCTCAGGGCCGGGTAGGAGTCGAGGAGAGGAGGGGTGTGTTCCAGGCGGAGGAGAGAGCGTGTGCAGAGACCCAGAGGGAGACCGCACGAGGGCCGGGGGCCAAGACGCGTCTGTGGCGGGGGCTCAGAGGGAGGGGCTGTGGAGTCAGGCAGGACCAGAACCCGAGACCCTCAGACCACACCGAGGGGTGTGAGCAAGGGCCTCGCTGAGGGGACTTGCGTTTTAGACAGGTCAGTCTGGCCACAGGCCCTGGCGGGGGACAGGGGTGGTGGAAGTGTAACCGCTGCGACAGCCATCCTGGTAAGGAGCGGTGGTGGCTGTCACCAGGAGAGCAGCGGGTGGCCACGGTGATGCACTGTCGCAGCTCCAGCAACTTGGGGCTGAACGTGCAGCGTTTCTGCACACCCCGCTGGCCTCCGTCCACGAGGTCCAGCAGCTCAGCCCCAGGGGGACCCTGAGCCCTGGCCGAGGCAGACACCCTGGCTTCCCCCAACCCTGCAGGACCCCAGACCTGAATTAGAATTAGTTCCTAGCATGGCCAGGTTGACTAGAAAGATGCTGCGCCCGCCCCCCCCCCCCCAACTCCAGGCTTTGCTCATCACCTTCGGGCATCCTCAGCCCTACCCTCTGCCTCACAGGGAAGCCACAGGGTGCCATCGGTAGGCTGATGTCCCCTCTGTGCCGTGAATTCCTGCAGGCCAATCAGCTCCCGGAAGAAGGCAGCCAGGAAGGTTTCTCCCAGCTCCTGAGGGACTTTGAGCAGTGGCTGGAGGTGGAAAACGCCAAGCTGGTTCGCATCATCGCAATGAGAACGACCACAGCCAAGGATCTGAGGATCCAGGAAACGAAGCTGCAGGTTGGTTCCCACAGAAAGGCTCTTTTTTGGCACCCATGGATATGTTTGTCACCAGGGAGTTCTTAAAAAAAATAGCACACACATGGCATGTGAACCATTTTCATTTGTGTATAAATAATCGTCTTTAAACTTCTTTGGTTCACATATTTTAGAAGACTTTCGGAGAATTGTACATTCAGCCTCCTTCTGTATTCCCCGGCTTGAAAAATATCACTACTCATCATGACTCTTATACATCAGTGAGTTATTGCCGTGTAACAAACCATTCCATCAGTTTGGGGTCTGGAACAGCAAACGTTTATTTGACTCATGGCTCCGAAGGTTGGCAATTGAGGCCGAGCCTGTCCGGGCAAAGCTTCTGGTCTTGGCTGGGCTCCCTTATTTGCTGTCAGTTATAGGTCAGCGGGGTGGCTCTACTTTTGGGAGCTGGCAGGCTGTTGGAGATGAGCATGAGATGGACCAGACAGCCCTCATCGTCTTGTGGGACAGCCCAAGCTTCTAGGAGCAGAGGCATCATCTAAGAGGCCAAGTGGGAGCACTCTAGGCCCTGAGGCCTAGAGTAGGAGCTGGCACGTTACTTCCCGTGTATTCTGTTGGACAAAAGAAGTCACAGGGCCAGCCCATGTTCACGGGGAGGGAAAGCAGACTCCACCTCTCGATAGGAACGACTCAAAAGTCATTCAAAGGCCATGGATATGGCGGGGAGGCAGGATGGGGGCGTCATGGCCATTTTCGCAATCCTACCACAGATCTTTCTCCTTCACTCCCATATCTAATCAGTCACCAAGCCCTCCTGGATTCCACCTCCTGGGAGTTTTTGGTTTCTGTCCCCTTTTACTACCAAGTTAATCTAGATACTTAACCATTTTTGACCTTGATTATGGGAATAGCCTCCCAGCTGGCCTTCTTTCTTCCTGATGGGCCCCTATCCGGGTCCTAGCTCATTCTGCCCCCTAAGTGACCTTCAGCATCATGAACCTGTCTTTATCTTTCCCCAGATATAAACCTTTCCGCGTAGAGTCCAGCCCCCCCAAGCGTATCACACAAGGCCTTCCTCATCCAAGCCCCAGCCTACCTCTCTCCTTATTTCCCTGTAGTTTTATTAGGAAACCTTGGGGTTTGGATTTCTTTTTATTTTTCTTACTTGGGATTCATCTGGATTCTGTAGTCTTGAGTCTTTCTGGAAAATTCTAGAAAATTCTCTGATGTTAACTAACATATTGCTTCTGCCGTATCCCCTTTCTCCTCTCCTGTGATGCTGCTTCATGTTATTCTTTCTCACCGTGGGCTCTATGTCTCCTACCTTGTCCCGCATCTTGTTCATCCTCTCTCTGTTGCATTCTGGAGAGTTTTTCTACCCTCCCTTCTGGTTTACTCATTCTCTCTTTTGCTGTGTCCCATTCACTATTACACATGTCTGTTAACCCTTTAACTTTTGATATTGCATTTGCCAGTTCTAGAATTTCTACATGGCTCTTTTGAAATACTGCTGTCACTTTTTGTGGCTTCCAGATCCCTGCTGAACTTCTTAAGTCTGGTTTTTAATTCTTCAAGCACAGTGGCTGTGTTAGATAGTGTGTCTCATAATTCTAGTATCTCAAGTCATTTTAGGAGCGTTTCCTTTGCATGTTGTTTCTGCCTGTTCATGTTGTCAGTGTCTTACATGTATGAAGCTGCTTTGACTATGTGCTGGGCATTGCGTTTGATGAAATAGATGTAGGGGTAATTTGAGATTCAGGATCAACTCTTCTCTGGAGAGGGTTTTGTTTGGGACTCTGCCAAGCAAGGATGGCTTTATTGTTCTGAATCCAGTGAGTCCAAGTTCAAAGCTTGAGGCTCCCTGGACCACTGATGACTTGGGGCTGGACTTTAGTCCACTGAGTGTGAGTTTACTTCTAATTCACCTTTAGGAGTCTCAGCCAAAGGAAGAACTGATTATCGGAGTCTCCACTTCAGAGCCCAGACCTTGACCTTTGTCTCTGTAGCCCCATGCGGCTGCCCAAAGTGCCATCTGTTTCACAACTGTTTCTTCTGGATTGGCAAATGTCCTGCGGGCAAAAGCTGGTCTGAACTCTGGCCTTACTTCTCTGGGTTTCACCCTTTCCCAGGCTTCAGCCTGATGTGCCTTGCTCTCTTGTTAACTCTTTGATGACTTTTAAGTGTTTTTAATACTTTGTCCTCCTCAGTGAGAAGTTTGGTCCAATTGCCTATGACGAGGAAGTCCTTATGTCCCTCCTAGCTCTCGTTTGGCCACGACTCTCATTTCTTGCCACCACCAACCAACTCCAGCCATATCAGAGATGACTTGCAATTGCCCCCATTTAAGCCTCCTGGCTCTTACAGAGTTCACATTCTAGTCGGTTCTGAGAAGCTAAGCAACCTCCCTGTATCACACCACTAGTAGGATGGGGTAGAAACAGGATCCAAAGCCAGAATTTAAATCCACATGCTCGGATGTGCAGCCCTGCTCATACCCCCACATCACTACTTCTCGGGAGTCTTGAGGATGCCAAGTGCCACCCTGGGGTGACACAATACTGTAGTTTGATAGAAAAAATCTGCCCGATCCCAGCAGCACTCTGTAGGGCTTCCGCATGCCAACAGAAAAACATGTTCAACAATGGTGGCTTTTATAATGATAGTGACTATTCCATCAAACCCTCTGAGGACTTGGTTCTAGAATGTCCAAGACAGAAGTGCCCATGGAGGTCAGCGGCGCACCTGCCTCTCTCATGCGGGAGCTCATGCCATCTCGTTCCAGAGAGCCATTGCCTGGCCTTGACTTGAATTTGCTCAATGGGCCTCTCACTTTACAGGTGTCTCTCAAAGGAAATTTGATTGGCTCCTCCTTACCAGCTGGCGGGGTGGGGGGTGTCTGGGCCATTTGGAAGGTACACATGACTCGACTCTGCCTATACCCCACAGGAGCTGGAGGCTCGGGTGCCAGAAGGTCAGCATCTCTTTGAGAACCTCCTTCACGTCGGGCCAGCGAGGGAGTCCTCAGATGAGCTCGAGGACTTGCGTTACCGGTGGATGCTGTACAAGTCCAAGCTCAAGGACTCCAGCCACCTGCTGGTAGGTGCTGAGGACATGTAGGTGCCAGGTCCCCCGGGGGTGGGACTACAGCTGAGCCCGAGCTCATCTGGGGAGCCGCAGCCGGGCCACGTCCTCTCTGCCCTGGGCCTCCACCACTGGAGAGAGACGGAGGCTCACGGGACCTAGGGCTTCACTTGCAAGATGTCGTTTGGCCATCCTGCCGCCCCGTGAGGCTGGCACTCCAGTAACGACGGCGGTAACCATCACGGTTAACGTCTGCGGAGCGCCTTGTGCCTACTAGGCTGAAATCTTTATTACCCCATTGGGTCCTTACACCAGCCTCCAAAGGGGAAGCTGAGATAGAACCTGAACTCCCAGGGCTGTAGAGCCAGCATTCAAACACCCCCTGCTGCGGAAGGCGCCGTGGAGGGCGCGCTGGCCTGGGCCCGGAGCCCTGGCATCGAGCCCTCCTCCTCCACTCATTTGCCCTGCGATCGCCAACAATCACCTTCCCCCATTGCGTCCCCATGTCTCCTCCCACAAAACGATGGCAAAGCCACAGCTAACTAGAAATAACAGCTTTTATTAAATGCTGTGTCCTCATAACAACCCTACCTAGGAAGTCCTGTTGTTATGTTATCCCCTGAGAAGCGACGGGGAAACTGAGGCACAAGTGTTAGCCCAAGGAGGGGGGCAGTTGAGACGGCTTCTGAGGACCCTTTCGGCCCTCAGACCCCCAGATGCCAAGCTTCAGCGCTCCGAGTGGCTTTGCCGTCCCCGCCCCAGCTGCCGTGGCCACTAGGTGTCAGCGCAGCCCCAGCCAGGTGGCCGCCGCCTGGTTCTTCCCAGACGGAATCCCACCTGGGCCTGAAGTGCGTTAAAAAGCTCATTAAATCGAATCACCTGCTGGCTCAGCCTGTCCAGATGACCAGAAGTTTTAAAGAAACACTCCCCTGACAAAATGAATATTCCATTACAGGCTCTGCTGGGATTTGAGTATCACTCACTTAACTTCTTTTTTTCCCCCTTTTCCTCTCCTTCCCGAAAAATAACAGACACAGAGTTCTCCAGGGGAGCCAACTGGATTCCAGAAGGTACGATGTCTGCCATCTGCTCCACACACTAGAGGGCAGGGCGTCTGGAGGTGGGTAGGCCTGTGACGCTGAAGCCAGACGCCTGGGCTTTCCGGAAGTTTCCAGGAGGTCTGAGGACCATTGATGGGGACTGAGCTCTGGGCTGCGCTGAGCCGGGCCCCGGGGTCCTCGGGAAGCCCCAGGAGTGTGCAGAACACACTCAGCTGTGACAAACCCATGACAGAGGAGGGACCCTGGAACTTTTCATCCCAAACCAGGATGTGGGAGGGAAGAAGGACACCACTAACACTTATGTTGTGACAACAGGCGTCAGCCAGGACTGTCCCGGGAAACCTGGACCATTCCAGGCCAACCGGATCGCGTGGCCACCTATGGGCCCAGTGGGGGGCCAGCGGAGGAAGGGGGTGGTTATGCTTTTCGTATTCTACAAGGCAGCTGTGTCCATTTCCGCCCAATGAGAAGCTCTCAGAGCCACTCCTGTGGCATTTGCAGGCCAAAGCGGTAACAGTGACAGCAGAACTCATAATAATAATCATTATCGACTCAGACGCTAGGGGTCGACCACCCACTGTGTGCCAGGAATCATGGGCAGTCATGGTGAGGGCTTTTCACGTAACGGTGCCATCAACACCCCAAGCACGGGGAAACGGAGCAATGGCAAGGTTGGAATGGGTCGTTCAGCACAGGCATGTGGCTTCCGGGTGGTCTCTGGCCTCTGGCCCCAAAGCCGACATCGTGACTTTCCACACTGTGCCTTGGAGAAAGCGCCTCTGGGGCCTGGTGGGTGTCCCTGCCTCAGGGAAAACCCGATGTGAATGGATGTCTCCTTTTGCAAAGGATCACTCTTATCTCAGGCCCTGGCCCAGGAGAGAGTGAGCCTTCAGCAGTCTCTGCTCTGGGCTCCTCAACGAAGAATGCCATGGAATCTGTTTCCAGACGCTTTGCACCCTGGGATTTCTTCTTGGTCCCCGGCGGGTGTTCACGTCTCACATCTGCAGGAGAGCGGGTGTCCCGCGGACTGGGTGAGACAGCCACAAGAACAAGGCTGTGCGTTGGGCCCAGAGTCAGCTAGCTTGGTGGCTTTGGGCAAATCGCTTTGCCTCTTGGGGCTTACTCTCCTCGTCTGTAAAATGGGATTATCAATGCTGATGGTATTCATGAATGAATCCTGAAGACCATGTGAACTGTCGTTCGTAGAAGTCCTTCAGAGAGACTGTAGCCCTGGCGTCCCCCCTAATTTAGAATGACAGAGAGCCTCCTCAAGAAATGGGGAAGAGCATCAGGAAGGACAGTGTGGCTCACACAGTCCAGCCTGGCTTCCATACTTTTAAGACCTGCATTGGGGAGTGCCCATCCGGAGCTCCCAGGGGGAACCCATGGGAGTCCTGTCTGGGTCCCCCGATGCCTTGCACACAGTGAGTGCTCACTAAACGGTTCTGAGTTGGGGGACAGTTGCCTGGGAGAGACCAGGCCTCCAGAGCAGGCTGCTATCTGGGAGCTTCCGATTGGCTTAATGTGGAGTTGCCCACAGCCCTGTCATTCAGGGCTCAGCCATAGCTCATTTGCTCTCCGTCATTTATCCCACAAGTATTCACTGAGCACCGACTGGGCCAAGCACTGGTTTGGGCACTTGGGATTCATCAGTGATCAAAGAGCAAAGTCCTGCCCTGGTAGGCTGTGTGCGTCCTGGCTGGGAGGAAGAGCACGTCTCTGAGTCTGGGGCTCTGAAGGTCAAGGGCAGACTGGGGTCTTGATATTTACAGGCTTTGTCCTATCTGTGACTAGCAGGTGCTGGGCACAGTTTTGTGAGGTATGCAAAACAGGCAGGCTCGAAATGCTAAAAATTATGCTTATTCAGGCTCTGTTTAAAATAATTGGATGTGTAGGGGCGCCTGGGTGGCTCCGTTGGTTAAGTGTCCAACTCTTGGTTCTGGCTCAGGTCGTGATCTTGCAGTTTGTGAGTTCAAGCCCTGCTTGGGATTCTCTCTGTCTCTCCCCTCTCTCTCTGCCCCTCTCCCATTCGCACTTCTCTTTCTCAAAATAAATAACCTTGAAAACGTTTTAAAAAGTAACAGTAAGAGAAAATAATTGCATGTGTCACAATTTGGGTTTGGTGCTAGCCAGCTGGCTTTTGTGAAGCCCACGACGAGGAAGGAAGCAGCCTCCAGGCCCATGTGCAGGGCCACCTTGGGCTCATCTACGCGACAGCTCAGGCACAGATTTCTGGCTCCCACCCCAAGTTTTTGATTCACTAGGGCTGAGACGGCCCGAGAATCTGCATTCCTAGCAAGTTCCCACGTAATGCCGCTGCTGCTAGCCTGGGACTCCACTTTGAGAACCCCGGCTTTATTTATGCACCGGATTTGAATCTAGGATCCACCATTGGCCTGTGTGACTGTTGACGGGCCACTTAGCCATGCTCTCTGATGACTAGAGCGAGGGTCCACCAAGCTGACGGTAGACAGAGTTCTTGTAACTCTACACATAGTAGGTTCTCGATTGCCAGGTAAATGGGGCCCTGAAGGCTTTGCAGATGCCGCCCCTGCTTCTCTCTCTGAGAACAAAGGGAGCAGTGACACCCTGGCCGGGGGGTGGGGGGCGGGGAGAATCCTCCCTTCGCTGTGGTTCTTGCGTGGTTTCTGCAGCCGACGTGTGCACAGGCCCAAGTCAGGCGCACCTATGTGCGCAGACACACACACACGGACATGGTGACGGGTAGAAAAATCCATGCTATCTTCCGAGGCTGTAGTCTTGCTACCTTAAAAAACACTTCCTATGTTATTTTTAGTCCAAAAGAAAAAATAACTGCCCCCAAACTAATTATTTATCAGCAGTTGGTTCTCCGCACTTTTTTTTTCTTTTTTTTTCTCTCTCTGTGCCCGAAGTCACCGGGAGCTCCAGCTACGTCAATGGCTTCAGTCTGTTTGTTTGTATAAACACGATAATTAAGATTTATTAAATTTGCAGCCTGCCTACGCACTTGCCGGCTCGATGCCCCCGGATACGTTTGCCTGCAGCATCCAGACACATGAACTGTAACTGATTTTTTAAAAAATTTTTATAAATGTTTAGTTATCTTTGAGAGTGAGAGAGAGAGGGAGAGACAGAGCATGAGAGGGAAAGGGGCAGGGAGGGAGACACAGAATCTGAAGCAGGTTCCAGGCTCTGAGCTGTCAGCACAGAGCCTGACGCAGGGCTCTAACCCACGAACCGTGAGATCATGACCTGAGCGGAAGTCGGAAGCCCAATGGACTGAGCCACCCAGGCGCTCCTGTAATTGCTTTTTAAGTTGCAAGTGGGCCGTGAGGGGACTGAACTCCTGCATCAGCCCAGGGAGGTGGTGTAGTCCTACTTGAGACAAACTTTTAGTGGAAGAGCACATTTGCGAATGTTTCTGTTTGGCCTGGGTAAACCGCGCCAGAGCCAGCATGCCGTTTCGCAGGAGCGGAGAGCAAACACCGCCCTCCCATGCACGCTGTAGCCTCTCGGGATGGAGACCCAGATGGCGAGCATTGCATTTTCTAGATCACATTTCGTAGGTTCTCAGACTCATGATGTTTCACATTTTCACATTTCTGGAATCGGGGCGACCTGTTACCATCCAGTTCTTTCCATGAGGATTTGCGTTTGCTTCCCTCCACCACCCAGGACACTATCCACCTGAGATTTCCCGAGATTGAAAATCTTTGCTTGCAGGGTGGTGTTTTCTTGTTTTCCTTCGGCCCACGCTGACTGCGTAAACTCTGACCCCCAGCCCCTGGGAGCTCCGGTCCAGCTTTCACATCAGTGACAAGATAACACATCATATTTCCTCGCTTCCCCTTCCTGAGAGGTGGGGTTTGTCCGCGTTCCCCCTGACGTTGAAGGTGCAGCCCCTCGGTGCCCAGGTGTGTGGCCCACCTCACAGTGAGCATCTGCAGTCACATGAAATGCTCGTATATTCCACATCTAAGGAAGCCTTAGTGAGTTTTCAAGGTTAAATGGGAGCTTTCTCTGACGATAACTATGATTTTTTAAAAAATCTCTCCGGGGTGCGGGGCACTGCTCTCAACCATTCACGTGCCTGGTCTTTGCCGCTCACAACCACCTTCTCCTCTTTAGTGGGAGAAGCATGGCCTCCGTATGGGACAGCAATTGGGGCTGGAGCAGAGGGGATGTGACTTGACTTGGTTCCCCTGTGATTCACTACTCCTGGGGCTAAATTTGGCCCTTCCTTGGTCAAAGGGCTGGGCTTTGCTGGGACAGTGCAGTCTTTGACCTTCAAAATGAAAGAACCCAGGATGGACCTCAGCCCACGTGCTGTGTAGTCCCAGGGCCCTGTGCGTCTCTCTGTCTGCCAAGCCTAGAAGCCAGCCACTGGCCATCGCTGATGCACGAAAGAATCAGTGTGAACTCTTCAGACGTCAAGTGTTTGAAACTTGTCTTTGACTTCAGAAATCCAGACCACTGTCATCTATATTTGCCTCTATTTCTTTATCCTTCCATCAGCCAGCCCAGCTGCCTTCTGTTTGCCCACCCCCCAGCCCTCTGAAGCTCACCCCAGCAAGGTAGCAGTAGCGACCTGTTCAGTATGCCCAGTGGACGTCTCTGTCTTCCGTGCACCTGGCCTCTGGGCAGCCCAGATGGGTGACCGCGCCCCACTCCCCCCAGCTGCTCTGGCTTCCTTCTCCCCCTCCATCACGGTGGCCTCGCTCCTTGTTTTGTTTTTTTCCAGTCATCAGAATCAGTGTGGATAAAACTCAGTGTGGATGGCATACTATTACTTAACGCAGAGTCCACAGTCAAGATTTAAAGCCTCAACAGCCTTTTAAAAATTTAACAGACACTTTGGTTTGGGAGCAGTTTTGGGTTTACAGAAAAATTGAGCAGATCGTACAGAGAGCTCTCCCCCACCCCTCTTCCACGGCTCCCTTCCTGTTAACATCCTGCATGAGTATGATGTATCAGCTACAATCCATGAATCTGCACTGACTCATCGCTATTAACTAAAGCCCATAGTT